AGAGGTCGAGAGGATAAAATTGTAAATATATAAGTAAATATATTAAATGTTAATTAAGTTTGGGAGGGTCAAAATCATAAATTACATGGGAGTTACAAAACTGTGGGGGATCACGACCCCCCTCAGCTCCCAAGAAGATCCGCCACTGAGATCGAGGGAAAGGTTATCATGCACATGGGAACGTGGATAGTGGTTTTTGAACCGTGGCTAAAAATCGAAGATCGAGAGAGCAATTGTCTCATGCATGGGAATGTGGTAGCGGTTTTTAAACCACTCTTAAGATGTTACGTTGAAGCGAGCCTATAAATAGAATGAAGCATGAAAAAGGAGGGAAAATTGGCAGAGACAACAGAAATACAAGTAAAAAGTCTACCGGACAACGACGAATCATGAAGTTTCTGGCGATCTGGATTTCCATTTTCATTGAGTTTTGTTACCACTTTCTGTACTTTCCCTGGTATTTTATCTTTAATGCAATTTAATTTCATGTGCCTTTATTTTCATGTTATTTCAATTCATTGTCATTTACATTTATGCAAGTTTAAGATTATGGATTTAATGATTTCTTTACTTTCTCAGTAATTTATTTACTCGCACATTTTATTTACTTTCCAGTATTACTTTTATGCGCACTTTAATTTATGTCATTTACTCTTAGTGTAATTTAATTTTATGCGTTGCTTTGTTGTCTCATGTTCTTTTACTGTTTTCTTTACTTCTATTAAATTTCATCTTCTCGAGTCTTTTAATATAAAAAAAATACAAAAAGAGTACTTTCGATTTCGATACGTATGTTTTATCATGCTTTCCGTATTTTTAATATACGCATTTTGTTTCGTCTATTTTGTTCGATATCTTCATATTCTCGATTTATATATACTTTTTGATTGAAAACTGTTTGCTAGCCTAAATAAAAAGAATTTATGTGGTTAAAATTTGGTTAGAACTAAGTCTCTAGGACATCAAAAACAACCAAAATTTTCACCCGAAACACCTATATAAATAACATTATTAGCATATATCATTTGCTAAGTTACCTGTGGATCAGCTCTAAGACTTTGGTTATCCTTTTAAGTTTTAGCGTGTGTTTGGATGTATAGAATTAGATGAAATGGGAGAAGAGATTAGAATGGAAAGATGGTGTTTGTATCAATTGATTTAAGAAGATTTAAGTAGATAAAAAGGTGTGATTTACTGTGCAAACTTTACCTGCTAATAAAAGAAGATTTAGATAAAAAGTTTGGTAAACAAAGATAAATTACTATATAATCTTTCAATTTGATTCTAATATTCATATATTATCTTTGTTGGGATGTTATCTTCAATAGTCATATTCATTTCACTATTAATTATGATAATTAATTTTAAAAAAATAATATATTATAATATAATTAATTTTAATTTTTTTTTCTTTTTATATTATTAAGATAGATTAAATATATTATCATTAAATATTACTCTCTTTCAAATATTAATTTGGATAAAATAATTTTTAGAATCATAATTTATAATAATTATTATTATATATTTACTTTAACCTCGTACTTAATGTCATATGACATCATTAAAAACCTATAAGTAAAACACTCTTATCACTAGAATATATATTTTTAATTAATAGATTATATTATAATCATTTTAACTACTAAATGTATATCTAATCGATTACATGTATATAACTAATAGATTATACCAATATAAATAATTGATTATATAGATATGAGTAATCCATTATTTTAAAATATATATATATTATTATATTAATAAAATTATATTATTATATTTATCACATATGAATTAATATTGGAATATAAAAATATCTTTTATATATTTTATTTATAATAAAATTAAAAATATATTGAAATAAAATTTTAATTTACTTAAATATATTAATACTATAATGTAAATTAATAAATTTTAATTTTTTAATAACATAATTTTAATATTTTATTTTATTTTTTATTATATTTTGTTTTTTTAATTAATAAATTATACATGATTTATAATTAATTATTTAAATAAGTTAAAATTTATTTTTAAATAATTTTCCAAATAATGTGTTTTCTTAATTTTAAAAATATTTCTAAATTTTTATAATTATAAAAATTAAAATATAATATTTTTATAAAATATCATAATTTATATTTATAATTTAAATATAAATGAATCTTAATATATTTAAAATAATTATTAATTATTATATAAAATAAATAAGTGATTATGAAAAATAAAATAATTAATTATACTTTAATATATAATTGATTATATAATAAAATATAATCGATTATCTCTCATCTATACATAACTAATATTATTTAAATTATGTACCATATAATAAACAAATTAATTATGATTTAATTATAAATATTAAAATAATTACTCAAATAAATATAACTTCTCTTATTTATATTAAAAATAATACTAGAGGATACATAAAAAATTTATTAAAATATTATTTAATTAAATATAATGGTGACATTAATTATTTATTTATAATATTTTTTAATTTTACAATATAAAACTTACATTAATAATTAAACTCTTATAATTATAATTATTAAAATTTTAAGTTTGAAATTGGAATAAAATTATTTTAATTAATTGTATTTTTAAAATTAAATGAAATTATTTTTATTATTTATTTTTATTAATATTTTTATTTTATTTTATATCCAAATAGTTGTCAAGTTGAAAAAATAAAAGTGATTTAACTAGTGCTACAGTAATAAGTTAGTAAACCATAATGAATTATAATTAACTATATACTTAACATAATCGATTTTGATTGAATTTCTTTTCACTTTCATGCATTATTTTTTATTTTTAATATTAAATTTCTATATTGTAAGTTTTATATATTTTTATACTTTATTTTATAATTCTTTTATAATTTTTCCAACCTAATTGTATTTTATTTTAGATGAAAATATTTTTTTAATTTATGTACATGAAAAAAATAAATTTGACAAATTTAGAAAAACATCAAAATATTATATTTTATCAAAATCGATAAATTTATACAAATAATAAAAAAATTTTAAAATCAGTATAATAATTACTCAATAAATTTTACCATATCTAATTTTAAAAATTTATTTCAATATTATTTAATAATTGTATTTAATATAAAATAAAAAATTTAAAAAAATGTAGGATAATTTATAAATTATTAATAAGATAGTAAAATTTTATTTTATTAAATATCCATTCAAAATATCAAAAATTTGAAATACATAATTTAAACTAAAAAAAATATTTTATACATATAAAATAATTTTAATTATATTTATATATAAAATAATATTAATCTATTTAAATTTTGTCTATAATATAAATTAACTAATATTATTATATTTATATCATAATTATATTTTTACTTGATTTATCTATTCTAACAATAAAAATACTTTAATCATTACATTAAAAATATTATTATTCAATTTTTATATTTATAAATTACAATAAATCTATTCAAATTTTTTCAAAATTTATTATCTTTCTTTCAATTTAAATAATTTTATAATTCACTCTAAATCCCTCAAATCAAATACACTCTGCCAAATCTCAATTCAAAGACAAACAGATGCTTAAAATTCGGAAACAGATCCATTCAAGAGCCCAACTTCGATGCTTTTGTTACATCAAATACTACGTGAATGTTTTTTTTTTTAAGTATAATTAGAAAGTTACTTAGTAAATAAATAATATTTAGAATACTTACATATTATTAGTAAAATTCAAAATATATTTTTATCATAATATATAAAAACAGATTTGATTTTAATAATAACATGTATGAAGAACAAATTTTATTTTCTATTACTTTATTTAAATTAAAGAAAAAATCTGCAACTAAATTACTATATTCTACGGATAACACACGCTTTGGAAAATGTGGGAATGCAATGTTCCACATAAAACTGTTGTTTATTCAAAGAAAAATATTCTTTGAATATTTGTGACTTTATTTTATTAACTCTTCTAATAAGAGTTGATCAAATGTACTTATATAACAAAATAAACTTTTGGGTATCAATTGACAGTCATATTTACTAAGCGTTGTGTTATACTGTTGATTTGATGGTAAAAAATCATCAAAAATCAAGATAATTAATTGTCATATATTTCCTGTTAAAACGCTATCAAAATAAGTTTATCGTGATAAAAGATGATTCATTATTTATAAGTTAATATTATTTTTATCAGATCTTTTTATAATGATTTATGAAGATAAATAATATAAAAAATACTATAATATTATACATTTGGAAAATGGTAAAAAAAGGAGAGGAAAACATTGTGCTGTTTATAATTCAATAGTTTATATTATGTATAATGAGTTTTTTCAAACCGTTTTTGGTGTCATTATTTATAATATAATATTATTTTTTTTATCAAATATACAATACGTGACAAAAAAGAAGAAGTGTGATACATGTAATGAGTGAAAAAAAATTGTGAGACACATCTAACGAAATTAAAAATACAGAGTAACTTATAATAAATTATTTATCTCACGTTATCTCTTTTTTCTGCCCTTTTTCTAATCAATTTCACTCAAATGTAAATAAATATAACTAAAATTAATTTTAAAAATTATCCTCTTATCTCCACTTCTTCAATCACACGTTTCCCTTAATTTTGTCTCTTATATATAAACTAATAAATAAAATTAATAAAAAACTATATATATATATATATATATACACATATTTATAAATATTTACATTTTTAAATTTATTATGACTATTATATTTATAATGATTCTATTTGTCGTTAATATTTTTAATTTATATTAATTAATAAATAAAATTTTGGTTATTATACAGTTTGTGACCAATATTATTTTATGTAAATATTTTATTCTGGACATGTTAGTTAATGAAAATTTTTATCGTGACCAAAATTTCCCTACTAATATTTCTTTTTAAATATATTAATAACTAAATTTTTGCTTGTTAAATTATTAATTATCAATAATTTTGTTTAAATGTGTCAAATTAGTGATCAACATCTTGTTTTTAAAATATTAATGATTACAAATATCAGTATTAGTGACTAATATTACTATCACTAATATTTTTGTATTAAATTATTCAATGATAAAATTTTTAGTTTCTACTATATTTGTTGTTAATATTTTTATTTTAAAGTAATGACAAAAATTTTGAGCGCTAAATTATTAGGGAATAATATTTTTGTTTCTAATATTATTGTTTTTTATAATTAATAGCCAAAATTTTGATTGTTAAATTATTAGTTAAAAAATTTTAATTATCAATGTTTTTGTTTTAAATATACTAGTGACTAAATTTGTGGTCGCTTAACAGATAATTTTTCGTCACTAATATTTGTGTTAAATCAATTATAGACTAATATTTTAATCACTAAATTGTTAGCAACCAAATCAATATTTTTTCTTTTAATTTAATCAAGGATCAATATTCTGGTCATTAATCTATTAGTGATTGATATTTGAGTCATGTTTTAAAAAAATTAATGGCAAAATGTAGTCGATAAAATAGTAGAGACTAATACTTTAGTTGCTTAAATATTAATGTTCCCAGCCAAAATTTGTCCCTAACATTTTTATTTTAAATCAGTTAATAATCAATATTTTGGTTACTAAATAATTAACTACCAATATTTTTTTGATAATATATTTATTTTAGATAATTATTAACCAAAATTTTGGTCATTAAATTGTTAATGATTAATATTTTCATTAATATTTTTATTTAAAGTGATAAATACTTTTATCGCTAAACTATTAATGACTAATATTTTTGTTGTAATATTTTTCTTTTATAATTTTAGATCAAACTTTTGGTGTAAAATTAGTAATGATTTTAATATTTTCATCTTCAATATTTTTGTTATAAATATATTATAACAAAAATTTTAGTTGTTTAACTATGAATATTTTTATTACTAATATTTGTATTTAAATTGATGATTAATATTTTAGTTGTTAATTATTAGCAACCAAATCAATATTTATTTTCTTTAACAAATTTATATTAAATCATTTAGTAAATATTATATTGATCATTAAAATATTAGTCGTCAATATTTTTATCTTAATTTATTCATTTCGAATTAAATAATGATAAATACTTTAAATCAATTAAAAATCAATATTTTGATCATTAAATTATCAACAACCAAATCAATAATTTTTTTGTTAATTTTTGTTTAAACTAATTAGTGAACAATATTTTGGTTTATAAATTATTAATTACTATATTTTATCGTTAATATTTTTGTCTTAAATAACTTAAAAGTAATACTTTAGAAATTAAATAATTAGCTACCAATACTTTTGTTTTAAATAAATAAATATCAAAATTTTGGTTATTAAATTACTAACGACTTATATTTTTATTGTTAATAGTTGACTTTTAATTAATTAGTGATTAATATTTTATTAATAATATTTTTATTTTTAATCGCTTAATATTTTGATTGCTAATATATTAGTGATAAATATTTTCAGCTACTAATTGTTAATATTTTTTTATTAATTATTAATGAATATTTTTGTCGCTAAATTATTAGTAATTAATATTTTATTATTAATATTTTTATTTTAAATATACATTAAACAAAAAAATTGATCTATAAAATATAGTGGCCAAACCAAAGTTTTCGTTGCTAATTTTATTTTATTTTAAACCAATATTTTGGCTGCTTACTATAAATATTTATATCACTAATATTTTTATTTTAAATAATTAATGTCTAAATTTCTTATTATTAATTTAATATGAATCAATATTTTTATGGTTAATATTTTTATTTTAATTAAAACAATGACAAATATTTTGGTTGTTAAATTATTAAGATCAATTTTTATTATTAATATTTTTTTTAATAAATAATTTAGTGACCAAAATATATTAGGGATCCATATTTCCACCCTAGTGTCTTTGTTTTAAATAATTTAACAATTTTTGTCACTAACTTATTAGCGACCAAAAAATACACTTGCTCATATTATTTTTGTTTTAAATTTATTAATGACGTATGTTGCTCATTAATGTTTTAACGACCAAATTAATATTTAAGATTTAAAATTCAGTGATTTGGCAGATAATATTTTTGTTTTGATTTATTTTTTGTCAATATTTCATAATTAGTGATTAATGCTTCTTTATTAATATTTTTGTTTTGAGAATTTAACGACATAATATTTAATCTTAAATTATTAGCGACCAAATCAGTATTTCTAATAATGATCAATATATTTGTTGTTAAATTATCAATCACTACTATTTTTATTGTTAGTATTTTTATTTTAAATGATTTTGCAACGAAATTTTTTGTCATTAATTTTAATGATCAAACCAATATTTCATTGCTAATATTTTTGTTTTAAATAATTAGTGATCAATAATATTTTAATCATCAATATATGTTGAAAGATAAAATTGTCGCATATATTACAAAAATAATTTTTTTTAAAAAACTAATAATATAAAAAAAAAGGAAAGACAAACACACCAACACTTACTGCATTAGTTAACATAATGAAAATATGAAGTCTACTTCGAATGTATCATATTTTTATTTTATTTAAAATTTGATTGAGAATATTTTAAAATATAGCATATATTAATAATAAAATACACAATATAAAAAAATATAATAACTGAAACTAAAAAATATAAATAAAAATATCCAATCTATAAATAAACATTTAAAATTAATTAAAAATATAAAATTATAAATAGTTCAAAATATATTTAATTAATAAAATATATGTGCAACGACCAACATCACTCATAAAGTTTAGTGGGCTAAGATTGGCCCATGGACCTTAATACACTGAACAATATAACTCAGGAATTCTATAAATGAATGGAAATTTACATTTGTATCATTCACAAAAAGTCACAATTTGCATTCATATAACAAACAAAAAGTGTGTTTAATCATTTCAACGATTTATAAGTTACTCTTAATTTTGATCTTCAATCATTTTACATACTTTCAACTTACAAAGACAGTTAATTGTATGTTATATCATATTCAATAATGCTCAAAATATAATTGTTTATGGTTCTTTAAATGTGGGAAGTTTATTATTTTTATTGTACAAATTTATTTTTACAAATAGAAGTACAAATAAATAATTATAAGTAGAATTAGATTGAGTTTGTTTGCTATTTGAAGAATTTCATGGTAGATGTTTAATTTAACTACGACACATTCCTCCAAATCTTAACATTTTTCTTCAACCAAATGTTCATGTCGTAAATCTACCCATGAAAATAAATAATGCATTAAAGTTCTCATCATGATGTTTTTAAAACTTTTTGAAAAACCAATATATTTAATTATAATAATAAACTATTCAAAATAAGTATTCATGATATAGTTAACATTAACTAATTAATGGTTCAAATTGTTAATAGAGAAAAAGGTTGAATAGACATGACATGACACACTCTTAGGAAGTTACTCCAGAAGGATTGAAATTAGGTTACATATAGATAATAAATGTCACACTTTTTATATTCTTTTAATAATTTTCTGAAATTTATTAGAATTTACATATGCTTTAGGTATTGTTTTGAATTTAATATTTCTCCCTAATTTAAAACATATTTTGTGAAACTTATAATTTTCTGTATACTTCGATCAATAATAGAGATAATTCAAAAGATTAACATATCTAGCATGTTTTATTATATATATTGGTGATTCAATCTAAATATATATACAAAATAAGACTACAAAATGTTACTTTCAGTCCATTATAACTACTATAATCTACGATTGTGCATATAAATTAAAAACAAAAACAAATGTGTCATTTATTAAAATATTTTACTGTAATAAAGTTATTTTTTAATATAATATTTTTTTGCAGTTATTACAAATATTAATGTGATTTATTTTCTTAAAAATAATAATTATTATTTCACTTATAACTGAGAATATAAGTTAATTGAATTTTAAAGAATCACAATTATTTTGAGAAGAAGGAAGTATTAGTAAATGTTTGGATTTTGTGTCATTTATTAATATCTCTACTATATATATATATATATATATATTTTTTTTTTATTTTTTTTAAATAATATGTTTATAATATTAAAGTCTTCTTATATACAAATGACAAGAACTAATGATTTATTTTTAATTTTCGTTATTTATTTATTTGTATCATTTTTTTAAAAATAAATTATTTTAATCATTAAATAATGATAATGATATATGGTCTTAAATTTCTTTTACATCAATACTTAAACTTTAACAATAAAAGTTTATAATTAACTATCATTATTATTACATTCAATATTTATACTACATCTATTTCTACTTCCAATTACTGGAATCATAACATTCCTTATATATATATCAAGGTTTTTCACTTCCCTCGTTCACTTAATCAATCACATTATTTTCCCTCGTTACTTTAGTATTTGTCTTTATGCTATTTCTTTTATTCATCATTTCTTTCAACACCAACTTATAGCTTCTGCACTTTATGCTATTTCCTCAAGGTGCACCACATACATAAATATTACCACCACCACCACTTATGTTCTTCCACCACCGCTGCCAATATTACCTCCTCCACCTGCGCTGATACCACAACCACCATCACCACCTACGTTGCTTCCTCCACTTGCAACAACACTTCCACTTCCACCTCCACCTGCACCTCCACTAATTCCACCTCCTCCCACACCACCGCCTATGTTACCTACTCCACCTCCACCTATGTTACCTCTACCACCACCACCACTTCCTGCACTGCTACCTATGTTCCCTCCTCCACTTCCACCTGCATTTGCACCAACACTACCACCTCCACCAATGTTACCTCCACCACCAACACCGGCACCTCCTCCTACACCTCCACTAATTCCACCACTTCCTCCTGCACCGCCACCTATGTTACCTCCTCCACCAACACTTCCACTTCCACCTCCACCTGCACCAATACCACCACTTCTACCTCCTACACTACCACCTATGCTTCCTCCTCCACTTGCACCAACACTTCCACCTTCACCGGTACCAAGACCTGTACTTCCACCAGTACCTCCTCCTCCACCTCCACCAATTCCACCGCCTCCTCCTGCACCACCACCTATGCTCCCTCCTCCACCTGTATTAACACTTCCACCTCCCCCAACACCTCCTCCTACACCACCTGTATTGGTACTTCCACTTCCACTCGCACCGCTACTACCGCTTCCACCTATGTTACCTCTTCCACCACCACCAACACCTCCTCCTACACCGCCACCTACGCTACCTCCTCCACCTGCACCAACACTTCCACCTCCACTTGAACCAAGACCAGCACCTCCTCCTCCACTTGAACCAAGACCAGCACTTCCTCCTACACCTCCTCCTGCACCTGCACCTACACCACCACCTGCACCAACTCTTCCACCTCCACCTGTACCACCACCTATACTACCTCCTCCTACACCACCACCACCCACATTACCTCCACCACCTACATTGGAACTTCCACCTCCACCTATGTTACCTCCTCCACTTGCACCAACACTTCCACTGCCACCAACACCAGCACCTCCTCCGGCTCCTCCACCAATTCCAACAGCTCCTCCTGCACCACCACCAATATTGCCTCCTCCTCCACCACCTGCACCAATGTTACCCCCTCCACCAACACCTGCACTTCCTCCTACACCTCCACCTGTGTTACTTCCGCCACCAATTCCAGCACTTCCTCCTGCACCACCTATATTTCCTCCTGCACCACCTATATTACCACCTTGACTCGCACTTGCACCTCCACCAACACCAGCACCTCCTCCTGCACTTCCACTTCCTCCTGCACCACCACCTATGTTACCTCCTCCACCAAGACTTCCACCTCCACCTGCACCAATACCACCATTACCACCTATGCTCCCTCCTCCACCTGTATTAGCACTTCCACCTCCCCCAGCACCTCCACCTATGTTACCTCCTCCACCAACACCAGCACCTCCACCAATTCCAGTACCTCCTCCTACACCACCACCTGCATTGGCGCTTCCACCTCCACTCGCACCAGTATTTCCACTTCCACCTATGTTACCTCTTCCACCACCAACAACACCTCCTCCTACACCACCACCTATGCTAGCTCCTCCACCTGCACCAGAGCCTCCTCCTACACCACCACCTATGTTACCTCCTCCACTTGCACCAACACTTCCACCTCCACCAACACCAGCACCTCCTCCTGCTCCTCCACCAATTCCAATAACTCCTCCTGCACCACCCCCTACATTACCCCCTCCTCCTTCTCCTCCTCCTCCACTAGCACCTCCACCAATGTTACTCCCTCCACCAATTGCAGCACCTCCTCCTGCACCACCTCCGATGTTACCACCTTGACTCACACTTCCACTTCCACCTGCACCATTACCACCACCTACACCTATGTTGCCTCTTCCACCATTACCCCCACCTCCTCCTGCACCTGCACCAAAACCAGCACCTCCACCTACATTACCTCCTCCACCAAAACCAGAACCTCCTCCTACACCACCACCTATGCTTCCACTTCCACCGGCACCAGCACTACCATCTCCACGTATACTACCTCCTCCACCTACGCCTCCACCTGCACCAAAACCAACACCTCCTCCTGTACCACCACCTACGTTACCTCCTACACCAGCGCCTTCGCCACTTCCAACACCTCCTCCTGCACCACCACCTATACTACCTCTTCCACCTGCACCAATTCCAGTACCTCCACTACCACTACCTACGTTACCTCTTTTGTCAACGTTTCCACCACCAGCTGTATCAGAGCCAGCATCTCCACCTATTTTACTTCCTCCACCAACACCTCCTCCTGCCACACCACCATTGCTACCACAGTTTTGAACTTTTCGCCCACCTACCCTCCCAAAGATTATTATCATGAGTAAAATGATATGCATTGTAACATTACGTGAAAATATGGCCATATTTGTTGGACAGTGAAAATATGAGAGAGATTATAAATATTGGGAGAAAAGAAAATATGCAGTTTGGTTAAAGCTTGTAGTTGGATGGGTTAAGTTTCAGTCTCTATTTATAGCATGAGTTTGGAATAGGACGTTAATGATGTGGCTACTACCACTAAAGTTGCCCGAAATTTCTACTTGCCTTTATGAATAGTTGATGGCCACGCGTGGTACCTCTAATTGCCGTAAAATTCTCAACCAGATTTAGTGCATCTGCCGCCATACCAACAAAAAAAATAAAAACGTGTCAATACGCCCTTATGTATGCATCTATAGTTGCCTCTCGTTTATCTCTCCATAGATTTTAAAGTGATTTTATGATGCCCTAATTTCCACCCATGATTCTCCATTATAGGCTTCAGCAAATTACCAAATAAAACGTTCCCCAATCTATGCTTCCCTTTAGAAATAAGGATTTTGCTAACTTTGAAGTAAGTGAAAACTGGAGTGGCGCATTTGGTTCATTTTCACTCTGATACTTCTTTGCATGAGATTTTTTTTTTGTCATTAGTATAGTCTTTATATATATATATATTATCAATCCTATGTTAATATTTTTACATTTTTAGTCATTATGATTATAAAAGAGGTTTGAGAAGCACGTTATTTAAGAAATGCTAACATTTCATAATATTTTTTTATTTTTATCACATATTATCTGTTTTATTTTATATATAACAAAAATATTATAGAAAAATTGTGGTACAAACAAGGAATCAACTACACGAGTAATGACTGTGTTTATGCTTTGGTTGTGACTTGATAATCCACCTCGTTTTAAACAATACCGGAGACTATGGATTCGAAGGTTCCAGGACCAGATATCAACCCTTCACTCGACACCTGCAAACCAATCAAATACAGTGAAAAACAAGTGGCAAGTATGAGCTTAACAATAAAATTAAACAAGCTTTGAAAAAGTTAAGAATCATACATGTTTTCATTCCCATACTAAACTTTATTTATAATAACAAATGGGCAAGATACATCGAATTGATAATTTATTTTATCAACTTTAACTAGATATATATTCACACCAAATTCTCATATAATTTTAGTATTTTAATTTTATATAATTACTTTTTTATTTTTTTAAAAATGGCAGACGTTTACCATAAGAAAAATGGTGTCTATCTCTTCACTTTATTAGAATTGTTGCTTACGGGATATGTTTTTAATTAATTAATTAATAGTAATTAGGTTTAGTTGGATGTGCAGTAAAAATTTTTTTAACTTAAATTGATTTCAGACATATTTTAATATGAATTATTTAGATTATAACTTATATAAATTTAGATCAAATTAGTTTGTAAACTTATACAAACTTAAATAAGATTAGTTCACTAAATTTATATAATGAACTAATTTATAGAATAATAATTATTTTATAAATAAAAATAATATATATATATATATATATATATATATATATATATTATAAATTAATTAGATAGAGATTCTGATTCTAAAAATAAATATTATTATAAATATCTAATAATTATTTATTTTAAGATATAATTATTAATATTAATTACTATTTTAAATTAATAAAATATTAAAAATAAATAATAATAATAATAATAAAGAATAAATTTTTATTTTTTATTTTAAGATTGAATAAAATACATTTTTTTTATAATTTATATTAAATTATTATATCTTAAATAAAATTTAATTTTATTAATAAAATTTAATTTTTTAAAATATGTACTTATTTTTTATTTAAATATTTTTTAATTAATTGATTTTATATGAATATATTAATATTATTTTGAAACAAAATCAAATCAAACAAAAATTGACCTGTTAAATTATTGTCCTAATCTAAAATTAGACTAAGTAAAATTTTTTTAACGTTAATCAAATTCAACCATCAATTTTTTTTTATCTGATAAAACCATGCCGGACCAGTAATTTTAACAGTTCTAAAAGTGATATATATAATTTTAGATTAACTAATTATAAAACATATAAAAAATCATGTTTTTTAGTTTCATATTAATAAATAAAAATAATAATAACAATAATAATAGTATAAATATAAAAACTATGAGATTCACGAACCAAAATTTTTCTAAATTATCAATTCAAAACTTAAAAGCATTCATTTATTCATATATTTCAGATCATTTAATCTAGCACTTACAAAACATCTTACATATTTTGAATTCAATTCAAAATTTGTTCGGATTTACTAATCTAATACACTAAATATTATTTTAGATTATTTTCGTGAAATACATAAATATAATATTGCCTTTTGTAATACAGAAAATACAAGTGAGTGCAGTAATACAATTTTGGCTTCATAAATAGCACCATTCCATTCATTCCCCAATTAACTTGCAAAACCAAGTTCCTTCGTTGTATGATAAACAAATCACACAGTTCCAATGAGGGTCAAAACGTTCGAGCTCGATACAATGGCTGAGAAAACAAAATAAAACAAAATTCAGAAGCAACAAATACATGCTGTGCTTCTATTTACGTTTGCTCCTCAACCAAAAAGTAAAATAATACTATACTAATAATAAAGGAAAAATTATTATACACTCTATTTTGCATTTTTCCCCTCCGGATTCATAAAGAAAAGCATTCAAAACCTATCAGAGAACGTGAATGCTATTAGAGTAACCTAACTAAGATTCTAAGAGAGCAGTTATACTACCGTAGGCTTCAATAATAATCAGACAGGAGCTTTAATAGGTCTTCTTTCGCAACATTGGCTTCTTCACGTCTTTTCTTGAAGCCGCATTGAGTCCTGGTGTGGGTATGTCTACTGTGGCTTGATACAAATCCTTCAATCTTCATAAGGGGATAGGGGAAGGAGATCCAATAAGGATACATGACCATAGAAATTCAAAACTAGTTGCAGAGAAGGTGTAAATAGACGAATATCAATCTTACCTTGGCATGCTAATAAACAGCGCGACAACTAGGAATCCAACTATAAGAGGGAATACTGGTGCAGGAGTCAACTCCTGCATTGTACAAGAAATGAGAATTAAAAATATGTGTCACACGACAGCACCATAGGAAAACAGAAAATAGTTAACGACAAGCTTTGAAAAGCAACGGCAGGCAAAAATAGAAAGAGCGGAGACAAGACAAAACCTGCTTCAGTTGATCTTCGATCCTGTATCTCAAAGGGCCCACATGGATTTGCACATTTTTCTCCAAGTCAACCTCAATGATATCAGACTCAAATTTAAGGGAACTTAGTGGGAGACCAGATTGAAGCTGTAGAAGGTGTCTTCCCTTTGATAAGCCCTTCACTTGGAAGAAATTAGAAATTGGCAGGGGGAAGACGGACTCTATCTTGTTAAGGTCACTAGCTGACCTGATTTCTACCATTAGATGTTTACGTAGTTCATTTGTACCATTTCCTTCAACGTGGCAACTTATAATTGTCATTTCGGGCTCCTCGAAAACTATAAAATCCAAACCCTTGATATCCTCATTTCCAACCTGGGAACATCAACCAACAAGCTTACTACAGGATCGGCACAATGACAGCACATGTAAAAGAGATAACTACCGGGAACTAACCTTCACAGCAATAGAATCTGGAGATGCACGTTCTACATTAGAACTGCCTACAGCATCCCTTCTTGCCACTTTGACAACATAGACAGTATCAGGCTGTAATCCTCTTAGACGATAATTTCCAGAAGAATCTGTCACTGTTTCCTCAAAATAGCCTTTTGATTCTGACCGGGCTTCAACTGAAACTTCTCCTTTGGGTTGACCTGACAACAGAGTGACTACACCTGTAGCACTGTAAGAGTTGATTTACTTCAGCACCTTCCAGAGTAAAGTATGCTCAAGCAGAAAAGTTCAAACACAGGAAAAGAAAGACAAGGCTATGGGTGTACACCAATTAAATATGATTACTTGTATATATATATGTGTGTGTGTGTGCAAAACTTGCTCTGCAGTTTGGTTGTATGTGATTACGTAGATACTAGTTTGATATTGTCTATCTACACTATTCACCAGCATAGTTCAACTGTTAAGCTTTTATACAAGGAAAATTACATGTTTCACATCACCTTGCAATGATTTACATATTCACCAGAAGAGGCACTATAGCATTACACTTAAATCATGCATACTTGATAGATTAGATTCAATCTACATTACACTTAAGTCGTGCATACTTGAATAGATAAGATTAATCTATTAAAGCAACTACCAATTCAAATGAAATTTATAAAACAATTCAGCATTCAATAAAATAACAATTTAAAATAGGTGCAGTGGGACTGGCCTGACTTGCAAATTCAAAGAATGTTATGCGTAACTTCTAAAAATATAATTTCATGGAGGCAATGTTTGTTGAGTTGCACTTGTACCCAAATTCCACAATCAAAACACCTATATCTGATCGGAGGCCGTTTCATCACAGGGCTTCAGAATAAAGTTTCTCACTTAAACCAGTAGTGACCCTCCCACTGGTTTTAAATGATGTCCTTGTTTTAAACAGTTTACAATTTATTTATAGATGTCTGAAAATTGTCTAGTGTCTCAGTTTAACTAGGCCAGTAATTACTGCAAAAATATAATATCAATAGAGAAATAGTAAATGAGATCAGATTCATAAATCAGGGAAAGATATAGAGCAGAGACAGTACTTGAACTTGAGTTAGATACCTTTCCTAATCCAATTGAATATTCAAAGTACAGTTTAAGATAATGTTGGACAATTGGTTTCAAATTTTCAATAATTTTAAAGAAAATGTTGGAACCACTATTCTTCTCTACAAAAAAAGAGGCCAAGATAAGCAAAGAAACCATGATCACCGGGGAAAATTATTCCCACAAAGCAAAAAATAATGATTATTAGGTGAAATAACAAAATGAAACCTGTAGGCTACACGTGTGGCCTGGAAAATAACTTCTCTGAACTCCCCTGCTCCAAGCTCTATTGCCTGTGCTGGAGGTGAGAAAGCATACTCCTAGAAAATAAGATCACGATATACACTGAATAAGGAAGTTACCAAAGATGTAGTTTCAGCAATGACCAGCATAATTTTAATCATCAACTTTTAAAAAATACTGATATTTACAAACTTAGCAAATTCATATTCATCATTGTGTCGTATGTACGGCACACAAGCAGAAAATTACTCATAATTATGAACAAGCATAAAGAGGTGGCCAATTCAATCTGAAAGAAACACATGAAGATTCTGGTTACGCAAACAGAACGATAAAAAATGGCAATGAAATGAGACAGTTGCCATTTTCTTTTTCACATCTTTCGTTTTGCCAATCACAAGTAGACTTTTACACCCTGTGGGTGTAAAGAAACTAATATGCACAGACACAATGGGTTATCAGATATGACACATGCCCAGTATGGTGATATAGAAAGCACTACTTGCTGGATATGTATTCAAATTTGTATAAAAATTCTTAAAGCATAACAAACTTATAATTCCTACCTTCAAATCCAAATTAAGAACATTCTTCTTCGATATTACAAAATAATTTATAAAATGTTGCCTATAAAAAGGAATTGTACCGATCTCATTCCCTCCTTGATCATTATTATCCTTGAAGAGAATAACTTCCGTTTCTAGTTCAACATGGGACAATGCTTCTATGTTTCTATCTTATTCTGTCTCTCATCCAACTGAATTAGGCTTCCACAGCTTTATCTTAAAGGCTTTGATACTTCACAAATACATATCAATGAAGTATCCAAGAGTATCGGTATATGAAAACGCAAAGAAAATGCCAGCATGTGTGCTTAGTAAGAGATATTTTGAAAATGCATAATCAAATCAAGTATATCGTTTAACTGCAAGTGAAGAACATGTAAACTAGAGCTGATTGATCAAAAGTTGCATGTGAAGGGCATGACAAGTAGTAGAATGCAACTTCATAACAATTATGTCCGGTATTCCAATTATAGAATAGTACCTTCAAAACAGGACGCAAATAGAACATTCCAGGAAACAAATTATCAAACTGGAATGTCCCTCCAGTCCCTGATACTGAGTTGTTTCTGTAACCATTGTCACCACTCAAAGATAACAGAACAGAAGGAATAGACTCTTTAGCATCATCTTTGTGATGTATGTGTACAAAAATTTGACTAAGCTTCTGACAAGTAAAGGAATGAGGCGCAACTTGTTTTAAATGATATCCAGGCTGCAAATATAAACAAAACACAATAAATAAATAAAAATGTAAGAAACCAAACATCACAAATAAGTAGAGAAACTGAACAACTGTTCTAGTAATTTTTTTTTTATAAGATATTAATTTTACATAGTTTGTTTGGAGAAAAGAGACTACCTTTGAAGCCTCAACATCGTAACCAATATCATTGTACAGAGGTCCTGCCACATAGGAACCATCAGTATCAGTGGTTGTTTCAAGAACTAGTTCACCACTTTTAAGTGCAGTAATGCTGCTCCCCCCAGCAGCAAAAACTCTGATATGGACGCCAGAAAGGGGAGGTGAAACTGATCCTTCAATGTATGCACCCACTTGACAAGAAAATGTAGGGATATAAGCTTGGCAATTGTCATCTGTCACTGATACCTATGGAAATGGATTTTTCAAATAAAAACTCATTAAGTCCCATAAAAACATCATTTGAAAAACTAATCTTTTGATACTTACTTGATGTTCTCTAGGATAAAATAAAAGTTTCTTCTGCCCATCATTCCTATAACCAAACAAGATCAAGTCAATTGTATTTGGGTAATAGTGCTTAAATTAGTTGCATTTCAAAAGCTATAGAGAGGAGGGAAGGGATAGGAAGGAGAGAAAAAAAATGAGTAATTAAAGTATTAAAAAACACAAGTACACTAGACGCAACTTCCCAGAACCATAGAATTGTGTGCATTATATGCACAATACACTAATAAAGAACATGAAATCATAAAAAAAGGGGTAAGTAATTTAAGTGTTTAACCTTCGGGGAAAACTGGACACATACAATAAAATGTTAAGATGTATAAGTACTTTTTCTAGATAATGGATGCAATTCCATAAATTCAAAATGGTAAAAAATAAAGCTTTTGAAATAGTGCAAAAGGAATTAGTAGATAACATAAAATGGTATAAATCCACTTTACTGTATTATTTTACAAACTGTACACAGTCAATACTTTCAAGATAAATAGGCAAATATGTAATTAGATAGTTGCTATTATGTATTCACACCATCGATTCTACAAAAAGGCCTTAAAACTAAAATAAATATTTAATGGAAATTGATAGAAAACCAGCTAGATTAAATAGATGTACCTTGAGTCCCAAGGAACAAAGGTAAGTTTTTCTCCTAGATTGGCCCAAACGGAATACTCAAATATAGCAGTATCTTTTTGATCTTTCGCATAGGACTTCAGTGTGGCTGTAGCATAGTCAATAACACCAGCTCCGTCATGTTTAACATCAACACCTATATTCTCAGGCAATGCATCAAGTGAGCCAGAATCCACATTTATTTGTCCTTTAAGAAGATACTTTGCTCCTGTAAGATGGATGGGCTACAAAAAAAGAAATTATGGAAGAAAATCTTCAAAAGAACCAAATATAATAATACATGAAAAAACTGAAAAATGTAATCACGGATATCTGAATTCTTTATACCGATTGATCAGATGTATTAATTTTCACCGATGAACTCCCAAAGAAGATACAAGAGTCAACAAAATGAAAATCATGTACACCAGGATGTTCTAGACATATATGCTGGGAACCTTTCTGCAGATAAGACAAAAAACAGAAATGAATTTTTGTGAAGCTGCAACTTAATGGCATATTTGGATAAACAATGATTGTTGTACCTGAATTTTCAAATTCACAATGGACCCATCGTGTTGAGTCAGGTAACCATCAACATTATGAGTGGAGATAACATTGACCCAGTAGCCTTTTTGAACAAAAAGGATTCCTTCTAAGTCCTCAGGACCAACAGTTACATCTATGAAGCTCTGTTCCCAGCACCAATTATCTTCCAAGGTGATGGATTCAGGGGAACTGTGTTTGACCTAAAACAAATATTATCACAGTGGGAAAAAAACACATGAATCAGAAATTTCCATAAAAACTGACACTGGAACAAAGGAAGTAGAAAATCAAAAGAATATTTTCCAGGAAATAAACAACTAAAGAGGTTCTAATAGAAAAATCGCAAATAAAATGGGAATGTAAAAAAGTTATCAACCTCAAGCCTGTATTTTCCAGGAATGACATCTGTAAACTGAAATTCAAAACTCTCGGTGGTCAAGCTAATTGTTTTTCTCTCTTCATTATGTTTCTCAACCTGTCTCACCAGATTAACAGATACAAATGGACCACATTTCTCCTTGCAGGATACAGCACCATGAATATTGACCAGAGCCTACAATCATAAAGTACATAATCAGAATAGAATAATATAAAATCAGTGCCTATCCTGGTTTGTGTGGGGTTAAGGTCAAAAGGATTCCCAAAGAACCAAAAGATATTTACAGGAATCAAATAAAATCTCAGCCCTATAGGAAATCTATAAATAAATAAAATCCAAGGTAGAAATTCTATTCTAACATGTTGAGATTCCATATCAACAAATATGGCCAAAATATAATAAATACTTGGACAATTCTCGTCTCATCAGCTAGCTTTTGGGTTTAGTTAGCCCAACCCAAGATGTATCAAAGCCTATTACAGATTTGATATTGAGTCAGCCTCAGCTGTCCTTTGGACCCTCAGATTTCCCAGTACAATCAACCAGGCCTCATGGGTTATCCAGTGCAATCTACCTGGCCACAGCTTTCTTGGTGTAATATTAAAAAAATAAGTTCTACAATCTTCATATTCAAGATGTATGATCCGGAACATGAAAGGGGTGATGAAATCTCACACCCACTACAGATATTATTAATGATTGAATCCCTTTGGCTGCTTCATTTATCACATACACACTCAGACACAGTTTTTCCTATAATGCAATAAATATAGACCACAGGTGGCATTTCCTTTGCCGCTTCTACTGACTTTACATTAACCTTACACAGTCAGACACATTTTTGCTTATAATGTAATAAATCTAGCCTCAGACAAAGAAAGAGAAAATGCATCAGGCACATCATTGTTCCCTGCAATGTTTATGTTTTAGGGTAGTGTTATATAGTGATACAAATTCTGAGTTTTTTTTTTTTTCTGAATGGTGCCATCGATGAAATAACTGCCTGGCAAAGTTGTTTATAGAATTCCTTTATATATGTTCTTTGAATGATGACTTAGCTTAACTCTAGATGTTTTATGCCTTTTTTAAGGTTGTATGCAGATGCAGCAGGGTCTACAACAGTTGCAATGCCAACTTTTAAGGTTTTTTGACTGATATTATGAATGATCAAATCCCTTCGACTGCATCTACTATTTTTACATTTATCGCACACACTCAAGCACACTTTTTCCAATAATGCAATAAAGCTTATGAAAGCTTAGGAAGTCTTCACCTCATGAGCTAGATTTTATGATTGAGTTAGACACCCAAATTCAAGTTAATCTTAACTTGTGTTTGGATAGAGTTTTGAACCATGGAATAAAATTAGAGTAGTTCAATGTCCATCATCTGTAAAATCTTGTGTTGGGATAATTATAGATGAAATTCAATTTTGGAAATATATTTCCTATCTTCTTTGCTTACAATTCTTCTACAACCGTAGCATCACATTCACCCACCATACCTACCCTCACACTGAAAGCAACACCATAGATGACCACATCTAGCCACCAAAAACATCATTGAGAATCATGTCAAATTTTTCTCTGAAACAGAAGCACCAAATTTTACACTGAAGGTCGAATGTTTTTCTCGTTGACAATGGTCGAGCATGAAGAGTAACTTGATCTTTCGCTACCTTAGGACATCAAGCCCCATAATCTCCTGAATGAAGGCATACAAATCCACTCATAACATCAATTCCTTCTATGATCAATTCATCAGAATTATTAAACACTTCATTTTCTCCTTTGACAATAACAGTGCACACTGAAGCAGAGGAATCTTAAATTTCTACCATATGAAATGTGATTCAAAACCAGAAGTCTTCATTTGACAGGGAAATTACCTGATGGAAATGTATTCTTAATATTTTAGTGTTAAATATCTAAAATAAACATTTTATAATTTAAATCCTCTTAAAAAGTACATCCCCTCTTTAGACTCTTCTATCCAAACACATGGCACCACATAACATCATCTACATACTAATACAGTAATATTGCTTAACAAATCATACAACCATATAAGACTGATCATCTCATGCTCAACTACACCAATATAGGACTCTAATTTTGATCCCAATAGAATTCAGCATGCATGATGCAGGAAAAACTGAAGGAAGAGGTAAGAAAGAACTAAGAAAAAATTACTTGTGAAAATTCAATATTCAACAAGGGACTTTTGACCACAACATCAATATAAGACGGAGAAAACATGAGTCCTGCAGCATTCTCAGGATTTGCAGCAATGGCTGACAACCGATATTCCCCAGGAAGAACCTAAATATAAAACAAACAAATTACATATCAGTAATGAGAAATGAACAATAAAATATCAGCATATACTCTAGAAACAACATTAAAGAAAGAAGCAATAAAATTATTTTAAAATAATAATTTAAGACATGATTTGGACAGTAGCCATGAACCATCTTCAAACACAAGATTCTCCTATGAACTCCACACGCTGAAAATTGACCTTTTTTTTTACATTTCAACTAAAATATTCAATATAAAATACTGCATATCAAAACCAAATGCCTTTATAACACGCAAACTGTTCAAACAAAGGGCTACATTAGAAAAATTATGTCATAGGCTCAAAGCTGCAATTACAAGTTTCAATTTTTGCTAATGTATGATTAATGCATGTTGGGATTCCAAATTCAGTTCATAAAGAAACTATCATCCCCAAGCATAAAAGTATATCACAAAACTAATAGTTTAACAGTTAAAACTTTCCTCCCAATTTGCTTGCAACCAATAGATAGAAAAGTACAATAAAATTAGATAGATTTGCTGGTAACATGCTGCTTATTAAATTAGCTAACAGTCCCGGAACATAAGGTTGAATCTGTTATTTAACATCCTAATCCACCACCTCTTCTCTTTCTGGCTCAAGTTACTTGTATCCACATTACAAAAAAAGGAAAAAAGTATTGATTTATTCCACTAAAATAACATACCTCAAAGCAGAAGTTTCCATTTTCATCTGTTTGCTTCTTTTGTGGTTTCACATTATCAGGTCCATGAGTTAAAGCCACCTAGTATAATTATTAAAAGATTCACTTTAACTTTAACATGAAAATGTTATTAAAAATAAACTACATGTAGAGAAGATGCATACCTTTGCTTTCAGATCACCATTAGCCATCCTAACTAAACCACAAAGATTGTATGAGATGGCACTCATGTCTTCTATTGAAGCCATATTTGGCAATACCTAAGTAAGCAAACAAAATTTGAAAAAAGAGCTACACAGCAGTATTTTTCATCCATCCACAAATTTTCATCATTTTAACAAGAGAGCACTATAATAAACTCAGAATTCTGCAAAAAAATTTATGATATGTTTTACCATATAATTGTCCAACTTCTTGAATTTGTAATGCTCCTTTTGAGCCTGTATGGTATAGTGCTTGGATGTAACCTAATAAATATAACAGAAAAGAAAGAGTTAAACCAAATGTAAATGTAGAAGACACTAGAATCAATCGAAAATATTATCAGCACAATCTAAAATCAGTGAAAAAAGAAAAAAGTACACTGGTCTAGGCTCTAAATAGTATCCACTATCCAGGGAGATTGGAGAAACTCTTACTCAGATTGATAGAAAAATCTAACTTATCCAAATAAACAAAAATTCAAGACCAAAAGATTCAAAAACTCATGTACTAAACTAAAACAAAGTAGAATGTCTTGCCAATGGTTAGATGTATTGTTTGATATTATTAAGATATTGTTTGATATTGTTAACAATATCTTCTGTTTATTCTATTTACTTTCAGTTACTCTTTTATTCTTTTAGTTGTACCTCTCTCTATTATAAATAGATTACCCTATGTATGGTTTATACACAAGGGAGATTAATCTCAAACACTATTTCCTCTATATTTAACATGGTATATAGAGCTTAAGGTTATTTTGAAATTTTTTTCGCCTTTGTCCACTGCTGAAGCCGCTACCGCTGCCGGTTAAACTGATCTTCCACGTCAAAAAAGAGTTATCTTTGTTACTGGATATTATTTGGTAGTGTAAAAGTGCATGTCTAGCAAGGTTCTGACAAGGAAAAACTTGATATTTAAGCATGTCCATTAGTGACTCACCTCTTTTTCCTGGGAACTTACCTGATGTACTGGTTCACGCCGCTGTCACCACCGCTGCTGCCGCATTTTGAAGATTTTTTTTTTCGCCTTTGTCCACTGCCACCACCGTCACCGCTGTCGAAGACTTGGCCAGAGCCGTCGCCGATGTTTCATTTTTGATCGTGTGACATACGATTTTCTCGTCTCGGTCAAGTGACCACCGTGCCATTGAGATCACCACTATCGGAGTTGGTCGTTTGTTGTCTCCTGTGTCGTTTACTCTTGACGGACTTATTTTGTGTCTATAGATGTCATCTTTGATGAGTTCTCCCTTTATTTTAAAAGTCAATCTTCACCTCTGTCTCCATCCAATCATGTCAACACTCCTAATACATTTAATGTTCCTGTTGTTTGTGACCCTCTTAACTGTGTCTTCTTCACCATTAGTTCCTGCTCCGCAATCAACTTCTTTTCCACCGCATTTTCAGGTTTATAGTCGTTGAACTAATCACAACTACCACCATGTGACTCCACTCAAGTGCTTACTACTCTGTCTCCTCCGGATCTGACACCTAAGTCTGACCTTCACATTGCCCTTTGAAAAGGTATCTGTTCTACATGTAATCTCTCTCCCCATTATATTGCTTTGAGTTATCATCGACTGTCATTATTTTTTTATACATGTCTTTCCTCTATTTCTTCTGTGACCATTCCAAAAATTGTTCGTAAAGCTTTAGCCCATCCTGGTTGGCGTCAGGCCATGACAGATGCAGTCAGTGTGGTAAGCCAATTTCTTAATTCCCCATATGAGGATAATTGGAATGCAGTCATTCGTATCTTGAAGTATATTAAAGGATCTACTAGAAAAGGATTGTTATATGGTTCTAATAACCATACAAAAATTGTTTGCTACTCAGATGTTGATTGGGAAGGATCTCCTTCTGATAGAAGATCTACATCTGGATATTGTGTCTCCATTGGTGGTAACTTGATCTCGTAGAAAAGTAAGAAACAGAGTGTTGTGGCAAGATCCATTGCAGAAGCATAATATAGAGCTATGACTTCAGCTGCCTGTGAACTTGTTTGACTCAAACAATTACTTAGAGAGTTACAATTTGAAGATGTAACTCAAATGACACTTGTGTGTGACAATCATGCTCTTCATATTAGCTTTAATCCTGTCTTTCATGAGAGGACCAAACACATTGAGATTGACATTCGAGAAAAGATTATGTCTGGAAACATCAAAATTGAGTTTGTTAACTCAAGTGATCAGGCAGATATTTTTACTAAGTCTTTACGAAGGCTTAGAATTGATTATATTTGTAACAAGCTTGATACATACGATTTGTATGCTCCAACTTGAGGGAGAGTGTTAGATATTGTTTATATATTGTTTGATATTGTTAAGATATTGTTAACCACAATATCAAACAATATCTTTTGTTTATTCTATTTACTTTCAGTTACTCTTTTAGTTGTACCTCTCTTTATTATAAATAGATTACCCTATGTGTGATTTATACATAAGGGAGATTAATCTCAAACCCTATTTCTTCTATATTCAACACCAATGAACAAGCTAACTGAAGCGCATTTACCCATATTAATACCAATACCTGATCAAGCTTGTAATATCCTTGATTATCAGTAATAGACCTTTCATAACCATCAACAATGATTTTGACACCCTCTACTCCCATGCCATTTCCATCAACTACCCGTCCTCCAACAGAAAATCCAGTTACCTATAGAATTAACGTTGATAGTACATATTTAAAAGCAAAATAACATATACATAACCACAAGAATAGTCAAATATCAGTAAAATCACGATACAATCATTGTTACTGAACCAAAATTTGTTCAATATACCAAATGCCAAATATTTATAATTTTTCAAACAATCATTTCTATATCTGATACCTAGATAATTTGCAATTCCAAAATTAATTTGCATTTTTTTTTGGAGTTTACTTTCATCTATATTTACTTCTAAATAAACTAAGCAATAATCAGAAATATATGCAATTGGCAGCAAACAGTTTTCCTTCAATCAACATTTACAGCCGCTAACCAAAGCCATAACCCTGGAGGTCAATGGGGACTCAGCTATCCTTGCTTAGTTTGATGCCAAATTATAAAAGAAAATAAAGCATAATCATCACACATAATAGATCATTTGGAAGTGGGATCTTACTTAAAATAAAATTATAAATGGATATGCACCAGATGAATATGCAGTCTTAGCTAGCATGCCTCTGAATGAACCTGATGGCATATGTTCAATAATACAACAATTATGTGGAAAGAAGATTAAAAAAAGCAATTATTTTTTAATGGATTTTTAAGAAATACTGAAACATAATTTAGCTTTTACATCCCATTTAATGAAAATTTTACATGGCCAGCAGTCTTGAACTCAATTGTAATATGATTTATTTTTTTATTTTATTTATTCCACATTGAAAGCACTTGTATTTTCTGAATGCCATAAGAAAGAAAAAGTGATGATGGTTAGTGTGTGTTAACATTTTTATCCACATAATCTACCTGAAATTTTTGAGGGACCGTTACATGCTGATGCTTGACATTAACTGAGACACTGGGTGGCGAAACATCAAATACTGTATTCTCACCCTTATAGTAGGGCACAAGTTCATAGCTCCCTGTATGTTGAAAAACAAGTGCAAGCACTAAATTTAGCAAAACAGGTTCTAGCAGCATGTAATAGCAATTTTCACGCACAGAAGGATGATAAATATTCAGTCCGCAAAAAAAGGAATTGCAATGGTAAAGTAAGTGCAAGAAATGATTTGAAGTGAAATTTAATATGATCAATAACATGGAGAGACTAATTGCCATCCGTATGTGAAGGGTGAAGTTCCTAGAATTTACAAAGTTGCATGCATATAATTTCAAATCTTCGGTGTTTGTTTAGAGTTAAATGCACAATCTACAAATAAGCTGACAAAAACACTCTGGGAAAGAATATTCCTCTTCGTCAATGTATAGGCACCAGAAATTCAACACTCCCTATGGGACACGTTAATAACATGTTTCAGAAGCTCCTTAGAGGGCTCCACTTCAGCTGAAATACACATTTTGACACATCAAGAGGGGGTGTACGACAGAATAAGAACTCAATTGCATAATTACCGCAAGGTATTGAATTGAATGTGAACTTTCCATCAGCATCTGATGCAGCATGACAGAGAGCCATTCCTTGTCGTGGGCCAGTAGCAGAACCTTGCAAACATTCTACCTCAGAAACATCATCTGAATATAAGAAAATATGGACTCCTACTATCGGATTTCCCTGGAAAAGGAAGAACCAAAATGGAAGGCATAACTACATGAGAAAGGTTTCAATTAAACTGAATGAGAACACAAACATCCATCAACACTCATAAAAATGTGAATAGATGTAGCAATCGATCCAAACAAGAATTTACTTTTTGTTCTGTCACAGACATACTCACAAAGAGGGAGAAGGATTTGTTGTTGTTATTGTATGTAATGGAAATATATAGAACTTTTCAGTAGATTATAATATAATAATTTTACAACAAAAAAAATGATACAGCAATTACAAGAGGAAAGCGAAATTTTGAATGTGTCCCTTCAATAAACATTACCTGAGCAACAACAAATCCACTGATACTATATCCAGGGACAAAGAAAACATCATCTACTACCCTGTTTCCAAATCCCAATTCAACCTGCAAAGAGCACAATAATAGAAAAATAGTAAGCACAATATGCAAGCTCATTAAATTTATTATAAGAAAAATTGACATCCAAGAAATGGGCATGAACACAAAGCAAAATGCTAAAAAGCAAAAACAATTTTGAACCTGTGTTGAACCTTTAACTTCAACTTCCATATCAGGATTTGAAGCACGTAGCTCATATTTTCCTGCAATCACATCAAGAGTGTTGTCCATTTGGTTGAACTTTGAGAAGAAATGATTTTAAACAAAACCGATAGACAACTTCATAGGACTCTTTGGTCAGACAATATTATTACTTGCGAGAAGAGAGAAACAAGGATTTTATTTTCTGAATTTGCTCAAGAGTATATCAGTCAGAAAAATGATCTATTTATTATAATAATGATAACAAAGACAATTCTACTATTTTAAAGAGAATAATTAAAATTTCATTACTTCCTATAAAACATTGAACTCGACTAAAGACAATATCTAAGGTACTTATACTAGGAAGAGTAATAATCATTTAATGCTCCAATTTCCAAACAATCCCCCTCAAGCTGGGGGATGGATATTTTCCATACCCAACTTGCATATACTCTTTCAAAATCTGGACAGCACAAACATAACGTATGAATATATATATATATAGAAATTTGAAATTTCGTTACCCAAACTCAGAATTTCAAATTGAAGATATTTGAATTGATATCTCCAAACAAAGCATTTTGAAAATGTAGGGAATTTAAATAAAAGCAATTCAAATTTCAGATATGCGAAAATTTAAAATTCTCTATCCAAACAGAGTTAACGTATTGCAAACTAAGTGGATTTTTCTTGGACAGTGCATAAATTTGCTAACCAAGCTTACAACAAATGCAATATTTCACCTTTGTCAGACAGGTAAATTAATTGCCAACTGAATGCTAATATATCATTATTGCACTATTTTTTGCATAGGTTTGAACGGACGGGAAGGGTTACAAGTACAAATTGCCTAACTTATCTCTGAGAACAAATCTGTCACCTATTTGTGTTGACATGAAAATACCTTTCTTAGAGTAAGACACTACAACTCCCAGAGCTATAGGATCAAGTTTGCCCATCTGGACCATGGACAAGTGAGACACCCAAAGAGACCATTGGTGGAAGTTTCTTAGAAGTGCACAAATTAGGATAGATTGAAGAAGGTACATCCATAGGACTCTTAAATCACAAGATTCTAAAGGGTAGTCAGTTAATAAGATATCTTGTTGAGAGTAGAGAATAGGCAAGTCATATCTGATTTAGAGGAACAAAAATCCCCTAATTACTAGTATTTCTTGTAATAAACCAATACAAATCAAACTCTGTAGTGTGTTAAACACAAAAATTCAACAGCTCTGTGCCTCTCCTTTTTCTCTTTTAATACAACAAAAATATCAATAATTTCATAAACACAATATCTAAGCTACTTGGAAAAAGTAATAATCATGAAATGCTTCATTTCCAAAATTACTCATTCAAAGTGCAGAAAGATTTTATACATTAAACCTAATTACCCAACTAAACGCTCATTCCATTTTTGGATCCAAAACAATTCTGAGCATATAATAGTAATTAGACAATCTCATTTACCCCCAGTTCATCTTGTTCATCCTCAACTACTTCTCAACCAATTAAATAATTATGTTCATCTCCAGTGACATCATATTTTTATGTGGAAATTTGAATCATTTTCACCTATATGTAAACCATATATTTTTAATACACCCTGTGTCTTCATGTCACCCAAATATAAATCCACAATAGTGCAAGAGGCTCCCTACATAATAAAAGAATTGAAACCCTATAACTTTCTAACAAATAAACAACTAAACACAAAACTCCCCTACCAGGAATTATGTTTGTAAACAAGTAACTCCCTGATGATGAAGTTAAGACTGAAGAGACAAGATCCCCAGAAAGGGTCAATAGTTCAACTTTTACATTTGATGGACCTCCACTTTTAACTGAACAGCTTTCTCCTCCAACAGCTCCCACAACTCTACCAGATATAGTGAACCTACAAATATACAAAACTTTGTAGGTAATTTCAAAATTTAGAGCATAAGCAAGCATAGTATGCAGCAGGACATAAAACAATAACAATAGCATTATTCCACCACAAGTTGGATGCATGGATCACATGACATCATTGTGCACAGTTGAAAACTAGATCCTCAAGGATATCATTCACCATGAAGTTCTTTTAATCAGAATAATAACCTACCCAGTGAAACGGAAGTTTATATCTTCATTGCCATTGCAACCGTTATTGTCAACCACCACAGGAACCTGTGGGACGAAAGGCGGGAAACAAATAAGTGTAAAAATTCATAAGAATATTTTCATATTACATCATGATTGAGAAAAGAAAGAGGGACTGATCATACATACAGACTATAACTGATAAATAACTAACCTTTTCTGGATCCCATGTCCATCCTGGAGGTCCATTAATTTTAATTACAAAGGAACCCTGTGATGAAAATAATTGGATTGAGAAGAACAGAATGTAGACATGTCTATGGCCATGCTGTATTTATGTTGATAGAAGTTGCTCAAACTAGCTTAAATATGCACAAATTGAAATAAATTTTACCTTGTCATATACTGGAATAAAATAGTATCCATTTGGAGCACATTGTGTTCTATCCTTTACCAGTCCATCCACAGTTTGAAGCTCAACCTAAAACAAATGGATCAATTAAAAGTTGTTGAGTGTAAGTTGAAATGAATACTTGGATGAGTAACACCACATCTTTTTCCCAATAAGTTACCACATAATAGTATATAGCAAAAACGACATGAAGGGGCATTTCTATGAATGTCTTGTTTTACTATAATGAGCCACTGAAGCCAGTAACATCTTTACAGCTATTGTGCAAAATAATTAGTTAAAATCAAATGCAAATCAATGGTAGACTAAAAGGGGAATTTGAAAGAACTAATGGGGAGTTTATTGGAAATGGCATATGACTCTCATACACTCTTTTCTCTCTTTGTAGCTTATTCCAATAAGTTTCACAATCAAACATATGACACAAGACCTTTTGTAATTAGAGCTCATTGAATAAGACTTATGCCCTGTTTAAAATAAACTTCTCCATAAAATCCTAGACAAATCTATGGCATAAGCCCTCATATAATTAAAGGTTAGTGAATAAGTACTTAGGTCTTGAACGAATAAACTTCTAAGTATACGCTTATACTAGAAGAAAAATGAAAAGTAAAATAAATTGAGTTTTTCCCACAAGTTAGAATCAATTTGTGCACTTAACTTTTATAAAAGCTACCTCTTCCCACTTTTCCAAAAGCTGAAGTAAAATCTACTTTTTTTTTTCTCCTACAAGTACACTTATGAAGAAGTTTATCTAAACATGGTCAAATTAAGTTCTCTACACAAACTCATCTTAAGTTCATTGGTGGAACTTATCAAACTAAAGTACTTTTAGCTTAGTCCAATAAATTGCGCAAAAATAATTTCTGGCAAAAGTCCTCCTGTGATAAAAAGTTCATTAAATAAGTTGTTTCCTAAACCCATCCTAAGTTTACAACCAAAATGTATTGAATTTTTCTTATATTTTTGAGGTTTGCTAAAGAATTATTCAGGGCAAGTAAAGATGATGAAAATTTACAAATTATAAATATGTTTAAAAATAAAGAATATTTAACAATGAATATTTTCTCTTATAGAATGTTTGGAAAGAGGAAGGAACTTAAACTTACTATAAGCAATTTTTTTATGTTTTCTATCCTTCAATATTCAATTCCTTTCTCATCTTCTATTTTTCTCCAAGTTCAACAATATTAGCTGCAAAGTTTATGTCTTTCCTTTTCTAATATTTATTACAAAATAGGAAAAAAAAATTAATAATCCTAAAAATATAAAACCATAAAAAAAATAATAAGACCAACCTTATGATATTTGGCTATAGTGATAATGCTTTAATAAACTTTTTGTAGGTCATCATGGCAAAATGGATTATTTTGAAAATGATATCCAAAGTCTGTTCTTTATGTAACGGTTGCTAAAGAAGAAGACTACACGTCAAACATTAGGAGAAGTGCACGGCAAGAGGATATCAAACCATGTCTAAAGTTCAAGAATGCCAAACCATATCTCAAGTTCAAAAACATGAGAACGCCAAATATGGCTTTGGGGAAGATTAAAAAAAATTATGCAAGCGTTATCAACATAGCCAAATATCATGAGGTCTGTCTTATTCTTCTTTCTATGTAATACATTTAAGGATAATTTATTATTAATTTCTTTCAATTTTGTAGTGGATATTACCGAAGGGAAAACATAAATTTGTGGCTAAGACAGTTGAACTTGGAGAAAATTGGAAGAAGGGAAAATAATTGAATAATGAAGGAGAGTTGGAGGAAGCGTGAAAGGAATTGCTAACAGTCAAAGTTTGAGCTACTTCCACTTTTCAAACATTCTGTAAGGGAAGAAAATATACGTTTCGAAAAGAGTCGAGCAGATTACACGCACTTACCGTGACATCGGAATAGTCCAACTTGTTATCAGTTTGCTTCCTCGATTTTACTAACGATGAGCTCGCCTGCAGTAACTCGAATTTGTAAGCAAACATAACATCGAGCGAATATTGCAAAAAAGAGGCGAAAAAAATAATTAAAAATCACACTAAATAAACAGGCGAATTCATCGTAGATAAATGTGAATAAAAAACAATAAAACAGAAATCACAAACGAAGAGTGAGTTAAAGCACAAATTTCAGATCCGGTGCATTTTTTTTTTCAATCCAAATGCCTGTAAATCATTTACGCAATTTCTGAGCATAAAGGGTATACTAATTATGGCGAAATCTGCGTTTCAATTCTTTCAATGCGTTTTTCACCGCAGAAGTTGATAGAAATGCACAACACTTTACCTCGACAAAACCACCGCAGCCATAGATGGAATCAGCAGAAACAGCTGAAATCGAACAAGTTGCGATGAATAGTAAGCATAGAAAAGCATCCCCGATCGACATTTCGGATCTGATGCTCGGCGATGAATTCAATCTAAGGTGGATGAACAGATCTGGAGAATCATGCGAATACTTATATTTCTTTATTTAATGGAGCCACTTCACTCCCAGGTCTGGAAGGGTTTAAGGGATTTTAGAAGAAAACAAACACCATAAGACCGCAGTTACAAGTATTTTATGTCAACGAAGAACAAGTTGGAGTGATGATATAATTTTTTACCTTTTTTTAATATAATTTTAGGAAAATAAATATTTTTTAATAATTATTTATTATGCTTAAAATAATGATGTTGTGAACCCATTTTCTCTACATTTTTAGAATAATATAATAAATTGTTTAAAATATAACTAGTAATTAAAAAAAAAGTCTTGAAAATGCAAATAATTCTAGACAAATGCAAACATTTACCTGTTGTTTAGTAAATAATGATTTACCGTGTCTTATATGGTGGTTTCAAATATAGATTTTAAAAATGAAAACAGTAAAATTCACTTGTAGATGTTTAAAATAATTCATTTTACCATTTTTTATTATTTTAAAATATACACTCTTATTTCTTTAAAGATGAATATGTTTCATTGATGTACTTTTTTTAATGTAAATAAGTATATAGAAAAATAACAAGCATTATTTAGTGATTAAAGCATTTATAAGCAATAATAATTACTTATAAAATTAATGATTTCAGATTTCATTGATAATAACTTTGGATATGTTTATTAGGAAAAAGGAAAAGAAAAAGAGCTTTGATATGTTTAACAAATGCATAGTATTGAGGAAAATGCAAGGAGGTTTCCATACAAAAATCATTGTGGATAATACCACCAAATGGAGGGAAGAATTTGTTGGAAGACTATCTCTAACTGTTTTCCATGACAGTGTTTTATTTTTATGAAAAGTCTGTCATTTCCATATAGTCTTCCAGATGGAGGAGATGTGAGCTATTAAGCACACAAAAATGGCTTCAAAAGCTATTTTAGTCGGAAAAAAGTCTGCTACCGTTGTGCTTCGAAACAAATATGTCATTTTGTGGAGTTTCCATTGGAGGAGGGGCACTCCAAACTTTAAACAAAGAATGTTTGGTCACCACCTTAAGAATGAGACTATTCATCGCTCCATGTTTAGACCACAAAACCTATATACACAAACAAACATTTGTATGATGAGATAAGATCTTAACCCACGACCCTATTAAAAGTCAAGTCCCCCTAACTCATTCAGCTTACATATACCCACATCACAAAATGACGCATTTGAGCTCCATCATGATGTGTTTGAGAAGGAGGATAATTTGCATTGTATAGGTCAGTAAACAGAAATCACTAATTAAATTAATGTTGTTCTCCAAACAAATGACAAAGTTTTGGCTTTGGAGTTAGATAAACATCCTCTAACTTTATCCAAGATATGTTGATAAACTAGCAATCTTCTTACATGTATAAAACAGAGAATTTTCTAAATAATTTTTCAATCACGACTTAATTATCATCTTCAATCCAAGAAAAAAAAATAAAAAAAATAATATATATATATATATATATATAAGACGAGAAATAATCTTTATTAATATTTCCAAACCTTTCATCATAGTGTAACTTGTGACAGCATGAAAATAAACCTTTTTCAACTGAGACATTACATTAATAATATTATGGAAATTTAAAGAATGTTGCCAACGTTTTATTTTTATTAGAGGATTAAAAATAGGTTTAATAATGTGGATAAGTTCAAAAATCTAAAAAATTAGTTCGATCAAAAACTTTATAACTTAAAATTAAATTATATATATACTTTTTATATATTTAAGTCCTAACTTATTACTACTTAGACTTATGGATTAACCTGTATTATAAAATAATAATATTTTTAAATAAAAATAAAAATAAAATTATTTTATTAATATATATATATATTAAAAATTAATTTAAAAAAAATTATTAACTTATTTAAAGAGTAAATTTATATTAACTACTTATTTTAATATTTAATTATTAATATTAATTATTATTTTAAATAAAAAATTTACTTAATAAATAATAATAATAATAATAAATTTTTAATTCTTATTTTAAAATTAAATAATATATTATCTTATAATTTATATATTAAATTATTATATAAAAATTAATTTAATTCATAAAATCTAAATTCAAAAATTTTATTGTAATATTAATTTTAATTTTATTTAAATATATTTTTAATTAATTATTTGGTATAAATATATTAATATAGACGAAGGTTGGACAATAAAATATTTGTACTTAATCCTAATCTAAGTTTTGATATCTCTAATTTTCATTATTCAAATATAAAAACATAATCAAATAATTTTGTTAAATACACATTCACAATGTTTAGAACAAGGATTTCGAAATCTTAAACTTTATAAAGTGCATAATTTTAATCGCTTCAATTAAAATTGTCATATCTTAATAGTAAAGTAATTTAAATTTATTACATTTCAAATACTTTATTAGAATAAAGTAATCCATTTTTACCACTTTTAAAGTTTTATCTTTAAACATTTGTTTACAAATGAGATTTCAATGCAAAATAAAATAAAAGCACACACTAATTAATTCTTAATTATAATATTTAAATAACAATTTGAAATTTTACGACAACGTAAATGGTTGGTCAATACTATTTTCAAAGATAACTAATAACTACAAAATCATATATTACGCACGAGATATTAAAATTTCGGCATAACAAATGAAAATACCGTTTATAACAAAAAACAATACTACAACTTTTAATATTAATAGAAGCACTAAGAAAAAGATAAATGAACGCCAAAAAAGCCCTTGTGATATACATTTGTATGATCCATTTCCACATAAAAAATAATTTAATTACGTTTTTTACCCAATACTATTGATTGATCTATCGTGTAATTAAACGTGTTTCGTAAGATAAGAGGCATTATTGTTCTTTTCGTTGTGAAATACTGCTTTCAGAAACAAAAAGCAGAACAAAACAAACCTCAAACCTTTCTACAACTTGGACGCTAAAATAATATAGGTGATTTGAAAACTGGAGCATTAATTATACAAAGAAAATCAATTCTTGACTTGACCTAAATATAGAAACATTGATACATTTGACAGTGGTGCCATTCAATGTGACAGACTATCTATCCCAACCTGATGGCCTCCGCCTCTCTTTGGGTTTAGAACTGCAGCCAAAGAAAGAGAAAAACATCAGCAACCAAATTATGTATTAAGATACGTAAGCAGCATGTACAACTTAGAACACAAACCTATTAATGCTCTTCTGGCCAGGATTTACTCCAGAACCTTGAGTGGTGAAATTTACGGCTGACGAAGCAGGACTGGGTGAGGCAGTGTGCTGATATGTATTTACGTCTCCACCAATTGATCCACCAGATACAAAACCAGGGAGTGCTGGTCTCTTATTGGCAGGCATGCTTGTATTGTTACCAAAACCTTCATTCTGAGAGTTTGACGAAGCAGCAACAAAGTTATTCCTAAATTGTGACATCATTCCTGTCCGCAGAGAATTTACAGCGGCAGATCGACTAGGAACTGCGTTAGATGGTGCGTTGTTTGACTCAGGATTATATCCGATGCCCAACCCAAAATCCACTCCTCGCACACCACGGCCACCTCCGCCACCACCTCTACCTCTGCCTTTTTTCCCACCTGCATAGTATACATGTTAAGAGATTAGATTCTCCAAACAAGTACTTGTAAATGACATGACACGTTCATAAACCGTTGTGTGCAGCAACGTCAGATTATTTTCTACCGAGTTTTACTCAACAAATTACTATTTCATAACAACGCAAGTTCCATTTCATACCTCCTTTTCTTGCATCACGTTTCGACCTGAATCTCCCATCCTATTGAATTACAAGACAAATGTCATTAAATACATTCAAGACACATACAAGGGACTTGAACCTTTTTATAAGTTTTTGGAAGCGTACAAATATAACAACAACATAAGCAAAATAAATACAGTAGTATTAAAAGAGAAAGGCACCTCCATGTTAAAACTCTTTAGTGGACTAATCCTACAGTTTGAGTAAGATAAATGGTTATGAGAACTAATTTACTGCTCTGCCGATGCTAAAGATTAGGTTACAAAGCTTTTGTGCATTAGAGATTACAATGAAGAAGGCAAGAAGGAAAGGTCGACAACTCTAGTGCACTGAGGGGTCGGAGTAAAGCACCCGGAACAATTTTATAGTTCCACACTCTTACCAAACTGTTGATAACAAATAGACCTACTTGTATACTTCCACCGTGGCCTTTGTTTAATATTTAATTCATCAACAACAAGCCTTACCCATTTATTTTCACAGAACACTTTTCATATTTAAAAAGTGTAATTCGATGATTTTAAACCATAAAAAATTGACAATCTAATTTCAAAAAGGCAATTACAAAAAAACTAATAGAGAATATCAGCGGGGGAAGAAGATTAAAAAATGCAAGGACTTCAGTAACAGAAAACTGAAAGTATAAACCCAAAACAACTTTAGGAGGTTGAGAATTAAAAAAAAAAAAACTAACAATGAGATATTAGTTTTGAAAAAAAATATAAAAAAATTCTTCCATATTTTTTAAATAAAATAGAAAACAATTTGAAAAATAGAGAAACAAAACAACAGTCCCTTGGTTTCTAATGTACCCAACCTCAGCTGGCATTAATTCGCTCATATAACTCTGCCTAAAACTTATTGCTAATTAAATAATAATTAAACTCTTAGCATGAAAATATCATTATTATATTGACATTTACAACAAACCAACAATGTGTACAAAAGTATCACGCTGGGATAAAACAAGATTCTTTAAAAACCCATAGTTGCATGAACCAGAAACAATCATACATAAGAGAGTCTGCAAGCATTAAATAAATTATAAGCATCGAATACAGATTGATGAATAGAAGAATATAATCGAAGGTGTTATTACCTTCATAGCAAGATCCATCAACTCCACGGACACATTCTGACCAGCAGCAACTAAACTGTTGACCAATTCACCAGCAAACCGTGCTTCTTTCTGAGTTATAAGCGTGTATGCAACCCCATCCTTGTCACCAGCACGACCTGTTCTTCCAATGCGATGGACATGCATGTCCATATCTTTTGCAATATCAAAGTTTACCACTGACTTAATTGACTTGATGTCAAGACCCCGGGCAGCAACATCAGTTGCAATGAGCACATGGTAGAGACCAGATTTAAACTTCTGCAAAATATCCATCCGAGAAGCTTGATCTTTATCACCATGCAGGGCAGCAACTTTAAAGCCTCTCTGAGCCAACTGTGATTCAATTTCATCTACAGTGGCCTTTTTGGAAGCAAAAACTAGGGTATCCCCTTGATCAATCATTTCAGATAGCTTTTCCAGAAGCCAAGGTAATTTTTCAGCATCAGAAGGAATCACATGAACAACTTGAGTAATATCTTCATTTGCCATCCCCACCTCTCCAACAATTACTCTAATAGGATCAGTAAGGATTTCCCTAGCCAACTTTTCAACTTTACGGGGCATTGTTGCAGAAAAGAGTAAAGTTTGGCGGTCCGGCCTAATCTGCCCAACAATGGACCTTACTTGAGGCTCAAAACCAAGATCAAACATCCGATCAGCCTCATCAAGTACCAGGTAAGTTGCTCTCGTCATTGTCAATGCCTTCATCTTCAGCATGTCTATCAATCTGCCAGGGGTAGCAACAACTATCTCACATCCAGCCTTGAGTTCTTTGAACTGCTCAAGCTTTGACATTCCACCATAGACAGCAGAGACACGTACTCCATACGCTTTTGCAAATTTCTTGGCCTCCAGATATATCTGATGAGCCAATTCTCTGGTAGGTGCACATATCACCCCTATAGGCCCTTCCTCCTTTTGAAGCTCAGGCTGATCCATAATATGCACAATCATAGGAAGCACAAAAGAAGCTGTCTTACCAGAACCAGTTTTTGCTATACCAATGATATCCCGGCCAGAAAGCACAACTGGTAAAGCCTGACATTGTATAGATGTCGGCTTCTCATAACCTTGTTTCTTTATAGCATTCATAATCTGTGATGGAAACCCACAGTCCTCAAAAGCCTTTATTGGCTTTGGAACATCAAAACCAGAAACACGAATAGCCAAACTCTTCCGGTATTCACTAACATCCTGCTCACTCATACCTGGAGTTAAATAAAATAAATTATAACAAAACATTCCATGAGAAAAAATGAAAGATGTGGCAACCAAAATTAGATTATGAAGTGATCTGAATTTTTTTTTCATTCTAAATGGAAGTAATTAGTAAAACTCGGAATAAAAAGCTACCAAAAATTGTTTTGATTCAAAATCAATTCCTCTGTTTATAACCAAACATGTGAATACTAGCATAAAATCACGCTAGCTAGTGCTTAAATGTGAATCTAAACACGCACTAATATAATTTCGGAGTTATGGTCGAAATACCTGATATTGAAGGTGACTCCTCGTAAAAATCCTTATTGAAGGGCTCGTAGTCAATGGAAGAGTGATCGAGAGCAGGAATGGGCTCAATTTTCTTCTTGTCAATAACAATAGGGTTATCATCGGAATCATACTCAATCATACCAGCGTCCACGGCTTTGGCAGCAGCATAAACCTCCTCATCGGAATCGTACCCAGCGTGCAGCGCCTCGGACGCGAGAGTCAGCCCTAAATCCTTCTTCGCCTTCAGAAAGCTCTCCATGGGGTCGTCGTCGTCGTCGTCCCGGTACCGGTCCTCGGTCTTCTCCTTTGGCTTGGGCGGAGGCGGCGCCCGCATCTCCTCGTGAATCCCCTCCATGAAGGCGTCGAGAGGGTCGATTTCCTCGTCGTCGTTGTTGTTCTTGTTCCCTTCATCGTTGTTGTTGTTGTCGTCGTAGTCGATGTTGTCGAGGTCGGTGTCCTCGTAGTTGTCGTGGCCGTGACGGGCGGAGGGAGGGACGTAGAGCCTCTGAGGAGCCTGGGATCGCTCGAAGCTGTAGGTGGATTGCCGGTTTATGCCGAAGCCTTCGAATCCGAACTTTCTCTTCGACATGGTGCGGATGAGGAAACCCTAGCTGGTGAGGGAAAGTGGAAGAAGAGAATTAGAAGAATTTGGGTTTGGGAGAAGATGGGTGAGTGAGGTGAGGTGTGGTGTGGGTATTGGATTTGGCGCTTCCGCCAGTGGAACGTTGCAACCAGTGAATATAGGCACCACCGCGGTCGATTTCTGGTTAAAGGAGGAAGGAATGACAACGGGTGGGTAAAGAGGTGCTCGAACCCAGGAATTCATTTGGGGAATAAGAAACTGGGCCATGTCATGGAATTGTATAGTAATTGGGCCTGGTAGTTTGTTCTCGCTGTACCTAATAATTTTCTATTTGCTTACCAATGTATATTATTAATTAAAATAAAAATTAAAGTTGAGAACATATTTTATTATATTTATATTTTTAATTTTCGAAAGTTAAAAATAAAAAATATTTCAATAAAATATTTATCAAAATTATTTTATAAACTTAACAAATTAAAATTATTTAAAAAAAACAAGTCTAAATTATTTCAAAAATAATGAAAAATAAAACACAAGTCGGCGAAGAAAGATAGAAACTAAGGATGGCAAAACGGGTTGGGCTCGGCGGGCCGGCCCGTCAACCCGCCATAATATGGCGGGGTGGGTTGGTGTTTTCAGCCCACCAACCCGCTTTGACCCGCCATAAGCTCTGTCAACCCGACGGGCCAACCTGCAGAGAGGGTGGGCCGGTCCATGGCTCGCCTAATTAATAAAAAAATATTTTTTTATTGTAATAAAATTAATTATAAATATAATATATAAAGTTAAAAATTTTAAAAAGAGAATTAAAAAAGTTTTACTCTCACAAAAAATATTCTCCCTCTTGAAACATAACATTTTCTCTCATGTTCTCATTGTTCATCCTAAGCACTGATTATTTTTATCTTTATGACTTGAATTAAAGATGTAAGAATTACTCAACCAATAATAATATTAATTTTTATCAAATAAAAAAGATATAGGTATTTGAAATTTTCAATATAAAAAATATAAAATTTATAAGTTTTAACGTTATATATATATTATTATTTATTATTATGTAGATTTAATTATTGGTCTAAATTATAATTTCTTAAAATAATATATTGATTTATATTATTAAATTGAAATAATATATATTGAATTATTGACAAATAAATAATAATCTTATTATTAAATTTATTAAAAAAATTATTTTAAAAAATAAAATTTTATTTTTTTAAATTATGGCTAGTCAGCCGCTAACCCGCCTCTTGACGGCGCGAGCCAAAATTTACATCCCGTCGTGACTATAACGGATCAGCTACCAGCTTTTGGCGGACCAAAGCGAGACGGGCCAAAATGAGGCGGCTGACCATTTTGCGATCCCTAATAGAAACTCCTTCACTGATTTTATCTTCTTTTTTATTTTTTAACCGCGCTTTTTTTTAATTTCTTTACATTTAAAAAATAAATATTTTAAATATGATAGGAAACTTTCATATTCTTTGAGAATTATCTATTCTAAAATATTTTAAAAATCATTTTTTGAAGAACCCAACATAAAGTGATAATTATTATAGAAATAAATAGATCCCTTTTATAGTATAAACTTAATATTGTTATCATATGGATGAAGAAAATAAGTATATAAATTTTATTTTTATTAATTTATTTTTAAAACATATAATATTTTTTAAAATTTAATTTAAAACAATTATTGATAGTATAATTAATTTCATTTTTACATTTTACTCCTATCATGAATTTTTTTGTTTCCGTCCCTGATATATTGTATATTAAGAGAGAGAGAAATTAGAGAGTAATGGTTTGAATTAAAAAATATAAAAACTTTGTGTATAGTAAAAGAGACAATGAGGCTAAAATTTTCTCGTGTTGTTTGCCTTCTTTTCATTTTATGTAGTACTTTCTTCGTTCATTTTATCCCCAAAAGCAAAATAAAGAGTCAAACGAATATGAAAATTTTAGGAATGCTAAAACTTGTGAATAACTTCTACGAAAGGATGGGAGTGAAGGGTTGGAGACGACAAAGTGTTCAAAACACACTTGAAATACCCATCATAGTTAGTTAAATAGTAATTGCAGCTTGAAATTAAGATAAAATAAATTAATTATTTAATTAAAAGATATTAAGAAATAATTATATCAAAAATATAATTTTTCCTTTAATCTAAAATTACAAGACCATTTTCAATTTTTTGACTTATATATTAATTTTACTAGTTTTACTAAATACAAGATTTATATTTTTATTTATATTTAAATTCTAATATTATTTTTTAAATATAAATTATTTAGAATATTTTTTTCAAAAAGAAACATTTTTTTAATCATAAATACTTAAGAACCTTTTTAAGATAATATATTTTTTTAATGATAACTTTCACTAATATCACAGATCATGTTAATGAGATACATTTTACATATAAGCCATAATATTTATAATAAATTAAACTTAATCGGTCACTTTATAAATAAAAAATACGCATTATTCTTAAAATAAAATTATCTGCATGCAATTTTTTTAGAAAAGAAAATACAGGATAATTCCAAACCTTTATACACATATTATAATATAATTATAATTAATAAATAAAATCAATTTCATCCACATGAATAAGAGGAAAGAATATCAATGAGCTGGTTCAACTTGTATAACAAGTTAGATTAGATTTCAATGCTAAGTCTTTTTGCACATACCATTTACCATTCGCCATTTTTTCTTTCTAAGTTTGAATAAAAATAAGAAGATAGAGTAGTATATGAAAAATAATAAAAAAATTGATTTAAGAAAAATAGAGGAGAAATTAAAAAGAAAAATAAAAATTAATTAAAGAATAATACGATGGTACGACTAGTTTTAAGAAAAATATTTTGTTTTCACCAAACACATCATCTTATTTTCACCTAATTAGGTTGGTTAAACGAAGAACAGAAGAGGAACACATGACGTGGATCACAACGTTATGACATATTTTTATAACATGTTACTTTATGCCATAAAACATATTCAACCGTGTGCCATAAATTCATTCCATTATTGTATTTTTCATTATTCTTTGCACAAACCCTAACCTAAACAGAACTCTTTATGAAAACTATTACCATGATCAAAACACCCTGTGGAACCCACAACGACACTACGATGCGTGAATAGTTAATAGTCAAACCCCCTCACTCAGATCTCAGCAACCGCAACACCACTAACAAAATAAAAAAATAAAGCGAGGCCGCGCCATGACCCGCTGTCTCTCTCGTAGCCTCCCTTTTTAGGCCCTTCCCGTTTCTTTGTTCTTTTTCCGTTAACCACGCACCTTCGGGTCCCGCATCGCAACGGAAACCAAAACAAAAATAATACTAATAAAAAAAAATCAGAACCCGATTCATTTATTTATATTAGCAAAGAAAAACCCACTCTGTGGACTACCCACTGGAAAAACGCCATTTCCGCTCGAACTCACGGTTCTCCGGTTTGACTCAGCTATGACGAGCTTGACTCAGAGCTCACTGTCTCAAGCCGGAGCTATATTACCGATCAAATTCCCGCGTTTGGATCCACCTTCGCTTCCAGTTATCGACGATCAGTGCTCCTAGTGTTGGTTCACCCATCTCTCGCCGTTGTTTACCTCCAAATCCCGCAGATCTGAGCTGTTCTGGGCAACCAACGGCGGCGGTCATGTCAATCAGTAATAATTGGTTTTCTCCTTTTCGGCTCTTCTTCCTTCGTTTATTTTATGTTTTCTGTTAGTTTGTTCCATGAACGAGTAGTAGCAGTGGAAAGCGCGAGGTAGTGGAGTCGGATTTCTGTTTGTTCAAGTGACCAAAAAATCTAATGGAGTTGCAATTTGGAGTTTGCCGTGGCTATCATTTCCTCTTGAGAACTGCTGCTCAATCAATGAGTGGTGGTATGCACTCAACTGGAAATTTCCGCATTTACAGTGTATAAGTTGTGTGGATCTGTTGTGAATGAACTTAGAGCTTGCTCTGTCGTTAATCTTGTGAAATTTGTTGACATGGTGTAGTATGTTGATCAAGGGTTCAAACTGCGGCCACGGTTTGGTTGCAATCCTTGATGTTGCGGGAAATTGCAATGCTACCAAAATCTTTAAAACTTTGATATTGATGTTGCTCTACGAGTTAGTGTGGTCGACCTTGCGGGTTGTCCCTAAAGGCATGGCCCTGTGATGAAGAACATCAATTATTGAGACGAACCGTCTTTTGATCGATATTATTTGGATGGAGGGGAAATTGGGCTAAATCTTTCGAGTCTTAAATTAAAGGAGTTATAATTTTTTTATTAAGATGAATAGAAAGGATGACCGGAAAGATTACATGCTGTTATGTCTGTCATAAAATATAAATTCATTGGAAATGCAGTTCTCTGTCATTGAAAATTAATCCTCTGTCCACGCTCAAAGGACACTAGAAGGAGCAAAATGCTAAACCTGGTCAGGCTATTTTGTATGAGCAGGATAAAAACCTGTTCAAACTTTGAAATACAATGCCGATGTTAAATATTAAAATGCTTATTATGTAGCTTTGCTTATTGTCACTATTTTACCAGAGGAACAATCATAATTCAGTTTAGGCTGTTTTTCAAAAGTGTTTGTAATTTTTGCATTTTAGTGTTAGTTAAATGCCCTTAATAGTTGATTTTGGCCTTCTACTAATAATGCAGGCATATTAAAAAAGATTCAAGGCTTGGTGTTGAAATGGATACTTATATTATCTTGCCTGGCATTTATGATTGTGGCTGGTGTAAATGATAAAACAACGGAGCTACCTTCTTTATATGATTCTAGATCACCTTTGGCCTTTGTTGTTGTTCATGATCTACCTCTACCAGCGAATCTCCATGTGTCAAAGCATGTGCTTTCTCACGGTGCACCAATTGAAGCACTTTCACCAGTCAATCCTCCTTCATACGGTCCTTTCACAAGTAATGGCCAATCCCCTACAAGTTCACATTTATCCATACCATTCAAGAAGAAGAGTGAAATGAAACCTCCAATTTCTAGCTTTAAATATATTGCTCCTGTGCATTCTTCTGCAGCTGCAGGCCCTTCTGCTTTGACTCAGCCACCGTTGTCTCCTTATGCTTCCAGTATGTCATCACTTTTTTCTTCTTACAGATAAATTGCTCTTTTTATATTCTTTGAAATGTTTTTGTTTTTTTCAAATCGGGCCTAGTTTATATAGCAAATTAATTTTCAGTATTAACATTACATTATATTTCATGATTTTTGTGAACTTTAGTACCTTGAAACTAAAAATGACTTGGATGCAAATTTTGATTCTGCCAGATTGTTGTAAACAAGACATGGTGCTGAAAAGAGGCAGTAAGAGTTGCAACTGTGCATATCCCATAAAGCTAGACCTTTTTCTTTCGAATGTCTCTCAAAATCCTAGTTGGAATGATTTTCTTGATGAATTAGCTGTCCAGCTTGGGTTGCGAAATACCCAGATTGAACTGATAAACTTTTATGTACTCAGTGTATCAACATTAAATATTTCAATGAATATTACTCCACATAAAGGCATCAGTTTCTCTGCCAATGAAGTTTCTAAAATTAACTCATCGCTTTCAATGCATAAGGTTCAACTAGACCCTCAATTAGTGGGTGGCTATCAACTTCTCAATATAACGTGGTTTGAACCACCAGCTCCTTCACCAGGTAATTGAACCTTTGTATTTAAATGTCATTGGAGCTAACAGGGAGATTTTTATTGTATAGATAACCTTGTAGTTTGACTATATTTGTCTTTAATATAGATAACAAATGGGAGATGTATATAACTCTTATTGCTACAGCTTTGCCTTTATTCACCTACATTTGTTTTATTTCACTATTTCTGCCAAAGTGATAAGGAGAATATAAAGTTATTTTTATGCTAAAGAGGTTTATTTTTTTCCTCATGACATTTGATAGCCTTTTAATTATTCCTCATAGAATGTATATACCAGTGAACAACAGACAATGTTGATGCTTATGATAGTTTTTTGCTGTTTTGTTGATCTTGAAATTTATAGAGAAGAGAAAGCTTCTTATGCTGTAAGGGTCTAGTCTTTACACTCAACAACTGATGACTGTTATATCTGCATAATTTTTCATAAATTTTATATTCTTACAGTATACAACAGACAATGAATATGCTTATGGTTTTTATTTTTTTTTGCTGCTTTGTTGATTGTGAAATGTAGATTTGAATAATTATATAAATGTTACTAAAGATCTACTGTATGCCACTATTTATGCTTTTTGTCCGACTATATTGGTTCATTTACATATGCAGTTTAAATTTAATGTTTGCATAGATTTCAAAGCATCGGTCTTTATCTAATTTGATGTCAGATACTTTTTTCTACTGTTATTGAACTAAGAGAATGAAGAAGCAAGTCCCTTGTGTATAGTAACATATCTTTCTATGTTTTCAGCTCCTATTTTAGCTGCATCACCTGTGAAAACACCTTTCTATCATTCACCTACTGCTACATCATCATCATCATCCAGTCCTTCAGGAAGGCATTCGAATCTGTTTCTTATTCTTGGAATTGCTATTGGCATAATCTTCATTGCTATCATATCTGTACTTATATTCTGTTTATGTACATTCCTGCCAAAAGCAAACACTCCTCCCATTGAAACTGGTAAATATCTACAATCTTAGTTCTTTTTATATGACATTTTTTGGATTCCATTTAAAGGCAGAATAATTTTAGTATCCATATTTTGCATAATTTGGAATATGATAGTGTCAATAGTTACAGAATATAAACATCAAATAGAGGCAAATTAATCCATTAAAGGTAAAGCTCTCATTATCCAAAAAACTTATTTCCAGATCAGCTTAAGGTGTTTATGGCGGGTTTCCTCTTTCTCATTATCCAACAGATAATGTGACCTTGTCAATCACTCGCACATTGTAGCCTTTCTCAGCAAGTCACCTCTCCACACACTCTCGAATGTGTTAATTGGTAGCCTACACATTGGTGCATGTGTAAAATAATTACAGACACATCCAAAATGATTTAGTTAGTGTTGGCTTATTGTTTGCACACATTATAAGCCAGTTTAACGGAAAAAACATTTGATAGTAGGGAAGGATTATCTTGAACATTCGTTTTCAGGTTTTCAAATTGAAATCAAACACTGTTAAATTTGCAAATTGAAAATATGAACCCAGTCCCTTTGGCTAAACTTGATTTTATCCATTCAGCCAAACAAACAATAATTTCATGTAATGAAAATTCAAATACACACACACACACTTGCAAATTGAAGATATGAAACAAGTCCCTTTGGCTAAACTTGATTTTATCCATTCAGCCAAACAAACAATAATTTCATGTAAGGAAAATTCACACACACACACACAGTATATAATTAAGTAGTTTGTCATCATACACACACACACACACAATTGTTGTCATCATAATTAAGTACATAATTAAGTAGTTTGTCATCATAATTAAGTAGGTTTTTCAATGTTAACATATGATTTGAATACATCAAATAGGGAAATATCTTATCAAATATTTGTCATAATTATTTATTGATTTTATATCTTATTAGTGTATCTCTTCCTCATTATAAATAAGAACACTCTATATACACTATACACAATTGCAAGTAATCCTTTAACATTTAATATTAAAATGATAACTATAATTTATGTATAATATTTGCAGTATAAAATGCATAAATTTAATATATATCGGTTTGATCAATAACCTACCGATTTGAGTATCAATGACCAGTTCGGTTTTGATGACACTAACTCTCACAGTTTGAAGTCTCTTTGGAGCGCAAAATAGTGTAGACATCTATTGGACTTCCATTTATTCTACGTAGTTGAGAATTTTCTTTAAGATTGCACCCTATATGTTACTTATTGAACAATAAGGTAGAATGTAAGATCATACGTTTGAGAGGCTCAAAAATGTGTTATTTATGAAGAAATGACATGTTGTTGATGAAGTAAGTAGAAGTTTTTGATGATTCAGTCTATATGGAATTGTGTTGTAAAGTCAGAAACAGTGAGAGAAGCTCTAAAACCAGAAAACAGAGAAAAGTTTCAACTGGAGATGCACAATGGAAGAAAGGAGAAAGATTACATCTCATTCATTAGTCAGTAGGAAATATATATTACATAAAAAATAGGTAACAGTCACTACTCTGATTTAGTTGGTACACTAAAGATTCGTAAAATTTCCACAAAATAAAGACCATCCACTACTTTCTACCTACTCACTTACCATCCAATCAACTCTGTCATAAAGTAAAGAATATCATTAATTTCAACCTAACAAGACAAAACAAAGAAAATATTGAATATAATATTAAAGTAAAAATTTTCAATTTCTAACAAATTGGCATTATTAGTGGTAGTAATTATTGCAGATATTATGTTCAAATTTGTTTCCATTTGTCCCTGCCACTGATGTTTTCTCTCGTGCAGAAAAGCCAAGGACAGAGAGTACAATTTCAGCTGTGGGTTCTCTTCCCCACCCAAGTAGTACACGATTTATTGCTTATGAAGAGCTTAAAGAAGCAACAAACAACTTTGAAACAGCAAGTGTACTTGGAGAAGGAGGGTTTGGCAGAGTTTTTAAAGGTGTCTTGAATGATGGTACTCCTGTAGCAATTAAGAGGCTTACAAGTGGAGGGCAACAGGGTGACAAAGAGTTTTTGGTTGAGGTTGAGATGCTTAGCCGGTTGCATCATCGTAACCTTGTAAAACTAGTGGGATACTTCAGTAATCGTGACTCATCACAAAATTTACTTTGCTATGAGCTTGTCCCTAATGGAAGTTTGGAGGCTTGGCTTCATGGTAATGTAATTTTTCAAATAACTGGTTCAGTTTTTAGCTATTTGAATGTTACATGCTTTCTTTGTAATATTATTGACTTCTTGTGTTTTGGTTAGTTTTTTCAAATAATGTTCTATGCCTTGATTGTTCCCGTCAGGTCCTTTGGGAATTAATTGTCCTTTGGACTGGGACACCAGAATGAAAATTGCGCTTGATGCTGCAAGGGGACTTTCATACCTGCATGAAGACTCGCAGCCCTGTGTCATACATAGAGACTTCAAGGCATCCAACATATTGCTTGAGAACAACTTTCATGCTAAGGTTGCAGATTTTGGTCTTGCTAAGCAAGCACCTGAAGGCAGATCTAATTATTTGTCTACTCGTGTCATGGGGACATTTGGGTTAGCCTTGATATTTCTTTTAGACTTGTTATTTCTTTTAGACTTGATTTTTTATGGTTAAATGAAACTTTTATGTATAGGTACGTAGCTCCTGAATACGCCATGACTGGACACCTACTTGTTAAAAGTGATGTTTATAGCTATGGCGTTGTCTTACTGGAACTGCTTACTGGTAGGAAGCCTGTGGATATGTCACAGCCAACTGGACAAGAGAACCTTGTTACTTGGGTTAGTTCCATACCTTGTCAATCACATTATTTATATCAAGTTCAGGGCATCTTGCCATGTTTTCTATATTTATTCTAGGAAAAGTTGAGAATTTAATACATTGGCTATGTAGTTAGTAAGTTTATTTGTCTTTTCAGGCTAGGCCAATCCTTCGAGATAAGGACAGGTTGGAAGAGATTGTTGATCCAAGCCTTGGGGGAAAGTATCCCAAGGAAGATTTTGTACGTGTTTGCACTATTGCTGCAGCCTGTGTTGCTCCCGAAGCAAACCAACGACCCACAATGGGTGAAGTGGTGCAGTCACTTAAAATGGTGCAGCGCATCACAGAATACCATGATTCTGTATTAGCCTCATCCAATACTCGAACCAACCTGAGACAGTCCTCTAGTACTTTTGAATTTGATGGAACATCTTCTGTGTTCTCTTCGGGTCCTTACTCTGGTCTAAGTGCCTTTGAAAATGACAACATTTCTAGGACGGTGGTTTTCTCTGAAGACCTTTGTGAAGGACGATGAATACTGAGAAAACTTAAGTTCAAAATGTTTTCTATTTCCCATTTTTTGTCAGCCTTCAAGCTTTCAATCAAAAGTTTTGAATGTCAATATTTGGAGCAATTTCAATCCTAAGGCTAAAGGTTGAACCATGGAATTTTCCAAAAGGACTTGCGCATTTTGTTGGTAACATGATTGTAAAAACTAATATTTTGATTAGCAGATAGTTATTTAAGGAGTTAGATAATAGCTTGTATAAATTGAACAAAATTTGCCAAAAGGCTCGCTAGTTTTATTTATCTTTTGGCTTGAACATAGGAATACTTTTATTCATCAATTTTATATGGTTGACTTCTTGTAATTTTACTTTGCATTGAGGATTTAATTTGAGGCAGCGTAAAATGAGAAAAAAAATGGAGAAATTAATAAAAATATTATAATTGATAAGATTAATTTGATTTATTAAAAATATTAAAAAGTAAAGTAAATTAATGAATAATCAAAATATTTTTTATATAATTTCAATAAAAATAATTATAAATTAAAATTGAGATATAATTTAGTATAAAATATTTATTTTATTAAATGGATAAAAGTAAGTAAAATTTGAAATTAATTTATGTATGAATTAAAAATATTTTTTTTATATTTTATAGATATATTTATATTTTACACTTTATTTTTATAATAATTTGCAAATAATATTATAGTATAGAAATTATTAAAATAATTAAAGTGTAACTTTTTATATATTTTTACACAGTAAATTAAAAATGTATTTCAACTTGAAAATGTGATTAATGAATTTATGATAAAATAAAATAAATTAAAAATATATATATTTTAAAAGAAATTAATAATATAAATAATGTGAAACTATTTATATAAAAAATTGTAATTACCTAGCATTAGACATCTGAATACATGTGTTTGGTCACAAAACTAAAATACAAAAATTCAAGAACCAAAACTAACTAAGAAATTGAATAACTAAAACCAAATTTCCCTGTATTCATTACCTTTCTTTATTTTATCATCTAGCATAATTTGTTTCTTTATGAATATTTTAAAATACATAATAATAATTAGTCATGATTTCAAAACAATATTTATATAAATCAATTTTTTTTTTAAATTATACTTTTTAATAAAAAAAATTAATTCACCTTAAAAAAAGAATTATAAGGAAGTAAACTCTTAAAATTAATTATATTATAATACACATATAAATATAAATAATTATATATAAGCACATAATTGATTGTTTTACATATAAAACTAAGTTACACATTTTATATATCAACTATTTTTTCAACCAATTTATCTCATATAAGATAAGATTCTTAAATTCACCGGGTCTATTGCTCTTTCTTAACAATGGCATAAGGATGTATCTTTATGGTTGTGTTTCCCATTTTACCCTAGGAGACAATGATTGCACACGATTTAACTTCTCAACATTTTGTTTCTAAGATTGTCATTCAAAATTTTCCCTCCAAAATAAAGTTTGTTTATTTTTTACTTTCTCAAAAATTCTTCACAAGCTATATCTATCCATCTATACAATATTCAATTTCAGTAACACAAATGATAGGTTTTTACACGTGAGCACAAGAAAAAAAAATTGCATACAACTTTTAGCCATGTTAAAGAAAAAAAAAACTTTCGTCTAAAATTTTTAAATCTTTTCCAAAATTTCTTTGTCTTTACATATTAGGGTTCTGTTTTCACCAATTTTTTCTCTTCACCTTTTACAAGATCAAATATTTATCTATTTTCTTTGTTTGTGGTTACTATTTCCTTTAATTTTTAGTGTTTAGGATTTCATGCGAAAAAACTATTCTCCATTTTTCTTTTAGTATTTGATTACATTTTTTTCTCTAATTTGTAGGGATTTAGGGTTTTCAAGCAAAAGTATATTTTTCTTACTTGTGTTCTATGTATTAAGTTTGTTTGTCCTCTAATCTTTGATGTTTATGGTCCACAAATATTTTAAGTTTTTCAAGGGCAGCTTGTAATTTGTGGGTACTCAATTACTTGCATCAAAATGGAAATTTGACTGCTTTTATTAATAACGGTGAGTCGCACAAATGCATTGACTTGCTTTATTTGGATAAGTTCAGATCTTATCTTCCTAGCATGTCTATGCTACTTTTTCAAAAACAAGTGAGTTTGAAATTTTAAATTTTAATTCAATTGCCTTTTCCCATAAATCTTGGATTTAATTTATTTTTCTAATATATATATATATATATATATATATAGAGAGAGAGAGAGAGAGAGAGAGATGGGTTAGGATTTATGGCTTTACAAATATTCTTACCTAGTTTGCTTTGAATGGTGGTTTGTCTAAAACCACCAATCAACCTAATTGTTTTGTTCACCATTTACAAGTTCAAATTATTTTTCTGATTTTCTTTATCTTTTGGGTTTTAGATTAGAATTTCCCTATTTTTGTTTTGTTATTTATGGTTTTCTAGTGAAAAATTATTGTCATTTTTTTTTTCTTTTAAGTATTTGGTTATGATTTTTATCTGATTTTTGGGTTTAGGGTTTGCAAATTAAAAATATTTATTTATCTTCTATGTATTATGTTTTATATATTTTTTTAATCTCTGTGTTTTCTTTAATTTTTAGGTATTTCAAATTCTAAATTTAAATTGTGATTTTATGGTTGCCTTTTTCCACAAATATTTGAATTTTATTTGTATTGACAATATATATATTCATTGAATGGTGGTTTATGTAAAACCAACCATCACACATTAAAAATTAATTTGCTGGTTAAACTACATCTTATATTTTGTGTAATTTTTTAATAAAGTCTAGGATATTGAAAATTTAGAGTTAACTTCACAATATGAAAAATATGATTTGTTATCTAAAATTATACTAATATTTGAAAAATTATATATATATATATATATAATAAATTTTATTTGAATATGTTTTTAACAAATTTATATTTATTGACTTTGAAATTTTAATTTTACTATATAAAATATAAAAATAAATATTTTCATGAAAATATAATTTTTTTTAGCTTAACTTATCAGATAAAATACTTAAAATAAATAAAATATAATACGTATAGAGTTTAATAATAAAAAATTAAATACAAATATTTATACTTGATTCATTTCCCGTTTTCTTTACAAAATAATAGAAATTTAAGTTTTTATCTAATTACTTTATATTATTTACAAAATTATTCTTTAAAATTTAAATAGTTAATTGAAAATTAGTTTCTTTAATATAAATTATAATAAATGAATATTTTCAAGAAAGTATAAAAAAATATACTTAACTTACATAACAAAATATATAATTTTTGAGCTTGTTGTTTCTGTGCATTGTTTTTTGCAAATTTTTCTTTCATGACCGACAATATTTTTCTATATGGTCTGTATTTTTACAATGAGAGCAAGGTTTCAACTACAATAGAGTGATAATCTCTTCTTCTGTTACTGAAAGACCTGTGAAACTGACTTGCAAAATCCCTTCAATTGAGAAAAAGAGATAAACACTCCAATGTGGTTAAATAATAATAATAATAATACTTATGATGTGATTTGGTTTAATTTTATATTAAAAAAATTATTCTAACAAAACATATAAATGTAATTTTATTTTATTTTTTTTAAATCCAAACCAAACATTTTTTTTCACTGGACTTAGTTGATTCTAACAAAACATCTTATTCTATGATATTTATATAAGATTCTTTTTTCACTGGACTTAGTTGATTAATGATTTATTGTTTCATTTTTATTTGTGTTTGAGAGATTTATTATCAAATTTATTTTTCAGGACTGATTATTTAAAAAAAAATTATTAAAAAATGGTTTTGAGCAGTTTTTTTTTATTATTATTTTGAATCCCTCTAACAATGGTATATTGGATTCACATGATATTTTTATTCGAAAAATATGACCAAATATGAAGCATTTTTTTCACCAAACTGGTTAAAAACATTAGGATTTTATTGATGGGTTGATTTTTAAAAAGCTATGTAAAAGGAGCAATGGGACACCATTTTAAGATGAAAAATAAAAATAAATATTAGACGACTTTAGAGTGGTAGAACTAAAATTGTTATAATGAATTTAATGTAATTTTTTATTTTATTAATTAAAGTCCTGCCACGACTTTAGGTTAATTTTTGTTAACAATTGAATTATTTTTTTAATAAATATATTATTTAAAAAATTAGTAATTTATTTATTTTCTAATATATATATATATATAATATATATATATATATATATATATATTGTTAGACAAATGACATTTAGAAGGGGTGAATAGATGCACAAATTAAAATAGATGTCAAATTAAAAATTTATTTGTGAGTCAATAATTTGTTAAAGCGGAAGTAATAATATAATCAGGAAAAGAGAAAGAGATAAGGGAAAGAGAAGAGCACACAGAGATTTATATTGGTTCGAGTATAACCAACCCTACATCCAGTTCCCAGTCAACTCTTAACACAAGAGTGATTCCCCATTCACTATCTTTCAAATTCAGTTTACAAATTACAATCAACTCAGCAGAATAACCAATAAAAAGTAAACTAATTAAAAAGACAATCACCTCCTTAGAAACCCACTAAGAATAAACACCTCCCTACAATCCCACTAGGGATGAACACCTCCTCTGAACAAATCAAAGGATGAAAAACACCTTCTTAGAATCCCACTAAGGATGAACCCCTCCCTAGAATCACACTAGGGATGAAAAATACCTCATTTTCCACCAATGCAAAAAGGATGAAGGTAATAAAAATAAGAATAGACACACTGGGTAATGGAGACAACAAATTGTAAAAATCTGTAGAATGTCAATCTCCAAGAACAAGTGTGATTAACAATGAAAACACAAAAGACAGTAGAGAAGAGGGTTTTCTCAAGAGGTGTAAAATATCTCTGTTGCCTTTTTTCAGAATTCTTTTCTCAAAACTGATTGAATGTAAATTGTATTTTCGAATTCTGTAATTGTGTGTTTTTTATTTTTCATCAAAACTTAATTAAATAGAAAAATAACATCAGAAAATTGCCGTTGGACATTAATATTATCATAGAGAAAATCAGGATGTATTCAAAAATATTTATTCTTTAAAACGGATATATTTTTCAAATTTGAATTGTCATAATTGATTATATTACCAGGTATAATTAATTATGATAGAGAAAATCATTTTTCCATTTCTGGTGTATCATAATTAATTATGACAGTGAAAAATATCATGTTATGAAATTTATCACACTTGTGCTTTGGAGGCTTATGCGTAATATTACTTCATCAACTTGTACCTCCATATCCAGTATTCTAAGACTCTATCTAGTCTTCGGGAATCATCTTGGACTTGCTTGAATCATCATCTTTATCACCTACGTCATAAATTCAGTTTGTCCTTAAATTCATCTTGAATCATCATCAAAATCATCTCTTGGGAATGCAGGAACATTTTCATCAATCTCCCCCTCATTGCTTTCATTTATGTTATAAAAATTATATTATTTATTTATATCAATTATTATTTTTAAATAAGTAATATATAAATAATAGAAGTATAAAAAAAATTATAAAAAATTATTTATTTTAACAAAAAATAAATATATATTAATAAATTTATTTTTAAGTTTAAATTGTATTATATTATTTATTTTTTTAAAAATAGATATATATATATATATATATATTAATAAATGTATAAAAAATGTAATTAAAATATTAAATTTTAGTTTCTAACACATTAAAATATAAAATTATTTTAAAATTAATATTAAATATGCTTTTTCATTTTCTCACTCAAATAATATTTTAATTAGTTTTATATTACTAATATAATTAACAAAATTATTATTTATATAATACAAAATATACATATAACAATAAAAATTTATATATATAATATAGTATTATATAACAAATTTTTAACTTAAAAAATATATATATATATATATAATTTAACTTTATAATAACATTATTATTTATAAATAATACATATATATATATATTACTTTTATTACTTATATACTAATTATACAAAAGTTTATATAAAATAATAATTAATATAAATAAAATAGATAATTGATATAATAGTTTATAACTTATAAATATATATAATATAATAAAAAATAATAATTTTTTAATAATATATTTATTTTAAAAACTAATTTAATTATTTAAAAATTAACCTACGTGATACATCACACAACTTTAATTATATAAAAATATAATTAAAATCGTACTAAAAAAATGATATTATAACACGATTTTAATTCTATTATTCTAAAATCGTCTTATCTTTCAACGTCTTTCCATCTCAAAATCTCGCAGTCTAACGCTGTTAGCATTCTTTAAGGAATTAAAAAAAAAAAAAAAAACTCACCGGTATCAATAAAATGTTAACATTTTTTACCCAATTCAGTGAAAAAAAAAACCCAAATATAAACAAGTAACGAGAATCACAACAAACCCTGACTAATTCGTCCGCGACAGTTACCCCCACATCCTATTTTCAGCATTCACTCAAAGATAAAAACCCACCCTTTCACTCTCATTTCGAAGCACCGATCCCATTGTCTTCACAATCCTGTTCTCCAACAAAACCTTTTTTCCAAAGAGGGGGTTGTCTCTTCTCCGACAACCCCTTTCCTGCGACAAAAGAAGTTCAGAGACAATGGGTTTCAACAAAAGCCTTCTCCTCGCCATAGTGTCCCTCTCTTCCCTTTTCCTATCAACCCATGCCAACATAGGCGCTCTTTCACCCTCTCAATCTCAAATCCCCACCATAGACACCAACATCTTGAACTTAGCATCCAACCTAATCAGACGCACCTTCAAAGCCAGCCCCGAGATCCTAGAATTCTGTAAAGGCACAGAGAACCCTACCCTCTGCTCCGAAACCATTGCCCCACACATCCAAGGCCCCTTCGACCCCATCAAGGCCCTTGAAGTCGAAATGAAGGCCACACTCAACCAATCCCTGAAGGTCACTGAATTCATCTCCGACGCACTCGCAAACCCTAACACCGACAAAAGGGCACGTGGCGCTCTCAGCATATGCAAATCTCAGTACAAGAGCATTAAGGGAACTATCAAAGAAGCCCTGGAATTGTTGGAGCAACAGAACGTGGTTGACGCTTATTACAAGTTCAGCTCCGTTTTATCTGACCAATCAACTTGCGAAGACGCGTTTGCAGAATCTCCCGGAGTTACCATTCCCTTCGCTGAGGACTCTATCGGCGTCTTAGATCTTGGTGGCAATTGCTTGGCCATCATGGATGGGATGGTTACTAGTCGAGTCCATTCTTTATTGGTTTGATTATTACGTTGGAGGAGAAGGTGCCTGCATGCATGCATGCACGTGGGGTAACCAGGCCATCTCTAGGAAATAGATCTTTAAACAAGAAATGGATTTGAAAACGAATGGTTGTTTTTGAGTGATGATGTGATGGTGGAAAAAAGAAAAAAAAAACTGCAAACTTGAGAGTTTTAAAATTTTGTTGAGGGATGAAAAGTATAATGAATGGACTTAATAGGGTTAAACTCATGTACTTAGGAAGGGATGGATCAGGAGCTGCACTTACTTTAGTTTTTTATTTTTTATTACCATTATTTTAATGGCAGAGGACACGTTTTTTTATTTATGCATGGTTTCTTAATTTTTTTTATTTTGTGCTCCACCACTTTAAATTTGTGTTTGATGATATGCGTGTGTTGAAGTTTACTACATCCATATATACTAAACTATAATTTTAAGTTTAGGTACGGATCCCAAAGATTATATGTGTAAAAGAAATACTTGTGTATCAATTTAAGTTTAAAAATAAAATATTTAGATTATGTGGCAATTAAAATAAATAATAAAAGACCGAGAGACAAAAATAAAAATAAAGAAATAGTAAAAATATAATAATAGTATAATAAGAGATAGAGATCAATAATAATAATAATAATAATAATAATAATAATAATAATATGAGATAACGATACAACAAATCTGAAAAACAAATCTGAAAAGATAAAATAAAGAGTAAGATTAAAAAATATATAATTTTAAGAAAATATAGAAAATGATAAAGATAAAAAAATGTGGAAGATAAAAAAAAATTTATACAAATTATAAAATAATTGGTGTATAAAGTTGGAGTTTTATAAATCATATATAAGATGTTCGAGTCGGATTTCATTAATAATAATTTATATAAATTATATCACCAACCCAACTAATTATTTCAATCTTATTAAGTAATTAAATCTAGATCAATGGTTTGAAATTGGGGACTTTGATTTTTTTACAATTATCCTATAAATTTTCAAAAATTAAATGAATAATATTTATTGTTGAAAAATGAATATATATTCTAATTTATATTTTTAAATTAAATTTAGATAGGTGATAATTTTGCATCTATTAAATCATTTAAAATTTTAAAGAGAAAATGAAAATTTATAAGAAAATAATTCTATCATTTATTCAATTTCAATAAATTTGTAATACTTTTATAAAACACATATTATAATAATAGAAATAAGTTACAGATGTCAAAATTAAAAAAAATAATATTCACAATCAAATAAAGTGAAAAAAAAAACATGTGTTAATTATAATTATAAATAATCATCCTAAGATTGACAACATTTTATAGGGAGAGAGAAATTATTGATATCTAAGAAACAATATTATCCATAAGTTCATCCAAATTAAAAATAGTCTTAAACTCATTTTTATTATCGTAGCTCATATGCAATGAGATGCATAAACATATTTTTCACTCTTCATTTTTATATTGACTCACAAGTGAATTTAAATGATCACATGAGATCTATAAATATATAATAATCTATTTTTTTCGAGATAGATATCATTTATTTATTTATTATTATTATTTTATTAAGTTCGTATTGGATGATTCATAAATATTATTAATTTAATTTTATATGAAAAAAAAATTATTTATGAAGAAAACATATTCATTTTTGATGCTATACAATATTATCATTAATTATATTATTAAATTTGTCGTCACAAAATTATATGTTAAATATGTTAGGTATCACAAAATATTTTCAACTTGTCATTTGGAATATTATTATATAAATATTTATTCAATCTTTTTTTGATATGATATAAATATTTGTTCATGTAATACAAATAAAATGATCGTCAGACATGAACACATGTCCATAATCACGTTTTGGAATATTATTATATAAATATTTATTCAATTTTTTTTTGATATGATATAAATATTTGTTCATGTAATACAAATAAAATGATCGTGAGACATAAACACATGTTTGTAATCACGTTAAAAAAGGTAAATTCATATATGTTTCATATAATAAACCATTTACAAAATGAGACATATGAGTTAGAAGAGTTATTCAACAAAATGATTCTTAACACATGCATGAAAGGGTGTCAAAAATCATACCACCAAGATAAATTTATACACGGTTCATATAATCAACTCCTTATAAAATTATGTATATAAACTATAAGAAATATTCAAAAAAATGATTTTCGAAGAGGGTCAATAACTGTACGAAAAAGGTAAATTCATGAGCATACTGAAACATAACTCATCTATAAATATGGTCTAGCTCTACACTTTCATAGAGATGATGAAATTTTAACATTTTTCCATCCAATTACCTAGCGAAATTTAGAGTGAAATGGTCAAACTCCACACTTCCATGGAGATGGTCAAGTTTTAATACTTTCATCATGTTCATCTAATTATCTAACAAAGTTTAGAGTGAGATGGTCAAACTTTATGCTTTCATGGAGATGATCAAGCTCTATGCTTCTATAGAGATGATCAAGTTTTAACACTTTCTTCATGTCGATCTAATTACCTAGCAAAGTTTAGAGTGAAATAGTTACGCTCTTATCTACAGTTTCATAAAAATAATAAAGTTTTAACACTTTCACCATATTAATATATAATTATTTTAAGAGAAATGGTCAAGCATATAAACACTTTCATCCTACAAATTCATAGTAATTAACATGTTAGATGTAGTCATCAGAGGTCATCAAAATATAATTATCATAACACAACATGTCACTATTGGACATAGGTATCACAACACGCTAATATACATTAAAATTAAAGTGAGTTTTATCTAAGTTATATTCATCTGAATTATATATCATATCGAGTTAGATTTTTTTTGAGATATATTCATTCAATTTATATAATTATTCGATAACATTATTTAAACATGTCATTATGTTATAACAATTATTCAAGGACGTTGAACATTTTTTATGTTATTAACAATTATTCAATAAAATCATTTAAGCATGTCCTTATGTCATAACACTTACTAAATCACAAATATAACAATCATCAAAGTTTCATATAAAAAAGAAACATATATCTATATGAATTTGAGTGTCATTGTATATTTCAAAAATAAGTTTTACTTCAAACAGTTTTGTAATAACATTGACCATAACTTTAAATTGAGCACACATTATTCATAAAATTGAACATACATCAATCATTATTACAAATTTCTCACAAATATTAATAAAAAATAATTAACTCACTCAAATAAGTCATGACATTTATCACGTAACAAAAATATTTTTTATATTTTTACATAACAAAAAAATTTCTATCAATACCTAGATATAATAAGTATTAAACAAATATAATATCTATTATATTAAAATACCTGATGGTAAAATACTTATAAATAAGACCATTTTATTATTTAGAAATCTTATGATTCTCGTCTAGAAACTTTTACATTATTATTATTCACATTTTTCTTATAATGAGTTAAACATTAAAGTATTTTTCAGATGAATCTCCCTCTTATTTCAATATTTAATAAAGTTCTATTTAACAAATTCTAAATAATTACAATCATCTAATTTGAACTGACTTATACAAACTTATTCATTATTATAAATTTTTTATAAAAACACCTATATATAATAAAATATAAATTATTAATAATATTTTATTCTTAACTTCTAAAATTAGAATTATATATATATATATATATATATATATATATATATTCTCTTAATATCTAATTTAAAAAAAAAACAATATATGATATATTTCAAACCTTATAAAATAAAATATTTCAATCGAAAGTGAAAAAAAATGAAAATAAGAATAATATATTTTAAAAAAATTTAATTATAATTTTTTTAGATAAAATTAAAATTATCTAATTTTAATTAATTAATTTATTCTCATAAATTTTCAAAGCTTATATTTATTTAAAAATTTTCTATTCTAACAATTAATTTTGTTACAAATAATTTTAAATTTTATTAAATAAATTATCCTTACATGTTTATCATCCAAACCGACAATACGAAACTTAATTAATCTCAAAACCAATTTAAATATTCGTATGGAAATATATTAATTATTTTATAAACAGTTAAACTATAATATAAATATAAGTTATTTCTACTTATAAATTTTATTTTAAATATTAAAAATAAAGAAAAACAAATTAGATGGAAAATATGTGATTAAAAGAATTAGGTATTTACTCATTTGAAATTCACCAATTCAGTGTATAAAGGGAAATCGGTATATTGTTGAGGACAAGATAGATTTGATTCGAGACACGCCCTTATTGGAGTGTTAGGGGCTTCCAAATCCAAATATGGCTCCTTCAGAAGAATCAGTAGCAGGTGACCCTCTATTGGGTTTTATTATAACAAGTACAAAAACTGAAATTGGTTTTCTTCATCTTCTTCTTTTGCCTTCTTCCCCAAACCCGCGCCACGCTGCCCAAATACCCTAACTCTGATACTCCCATTCCACGAACACCCAAATTCCTCAAATTCACGCACCAAACACCGACACAACCCCGTTCTCCAATAATTCCTTCCAATTCTCTGATCCCACTCTATGCTCAAGGGTTTGCGCTAACTACTGCGTCGCAAATAATTCGCTCCAACATTGAGGTTTTCACCAAATTAGCCTCTGTTTCTTCTCAATTTTACTGAATCCTTGTCTCCAATTTGCTTATTTTGCTGCAATTACTTGTTTAGGTTTCAATTTTTTCGTTCTTATTAGGAGAGTTTATGTATGTTTTGTTTGTCGATTTTAACTGTGAATGTTGTGCACGAGTGCGGCGTCAGTGTCGCTGCCTCTAATTTGTTAGTCTATTGGAAACCGTGTTAAAGTAACAATCTTAATTAGAATTCGACTTTTGGGTTTATTTCGCTGTTTTCACGTTTGTTTGTTTGTTATATTCGTGGGAAAAAGGTTACGGTTAGGCTAAATCGGAAATAATGTGGTTTGATTTTGCGAATGATCAATGTGATTGATTATGGTTTCTGCGTGACTCAGTTGCAGCGGGAGCGGTTTTGGTTTGTGAGGGTTTTCCCTCGGGAGTTATACGAAGTGTAACAGGAATCTCTGCTGTTGTGTAATAAAAAAGTTTTAAATGGAAGATTTGGGAGGTACCCGGTTTGATGGCCTCAGCAATGCTGTTAGGAGGAAGAGAAGTCAGACTTCGCGCAGGCCGCGACCCGATTCCCAGCCTGTTTCTGATGGTCATGAACTGTCTCCCTTGTCCTCAACGCCTTCAGAAGATGCTGGCAAGATTTCTAGTGATGAGAATGTTGGTTACGATGCAAATTCCAAGAGAAAGGAGTTCAATCTTAATCACTGTGTCTCTCAATCCTCCTCGGCGACTGGAGCTGAAGATGAAAAATCTCATAAAAAGAGTAAAAAGGATGGTGGGTTCCACGCATTTTATAATAATGAACCTGGACGGAGTGGTTTGCATAATAAGCGCTGTAGTGAAGGTGTTCTTGCTCCAGCAAATTGGAAAGGTTCTAGCAAAGCAAAGGATAGCCTGGATTTAGAGTCCAGAAATGCAGATTTGTATGGTGGAAGGAATCCTGAGAGTACAAGTTTGGCACAGTTTGGTGGCTCTCAGGATGGATTGGGGAACGAGAACCGGGTTAAAAAGGTTAAACTCAAGGTTGGTGGGGTGACACGTACTATTCAAGCCAATTCAGCAACCAATGGTGCTTCGGGAAGTGGATCAACAATGAAGAGCTCTCGCTCATTGGATGCTTCCAGGCCACGCCAAAAACAGCAGGTTGTGGTGTGATCTTACACAACATTAGTAGTTTATAATATGGTAGAGATATAAAACCATTTTATGTAAAAGCTTAAAAGTTAGAAGAATTGGTCTTTGACTTGTTATCTGAGTCTCCAGGCAACTAGTTACGATTTTGATCATTTTGTTCTAATTCTAGTTACTTAATTAAATTTCAATGAAAGATAAAGCAAGTATGTGCCTTGTCATTATGTCAGGCCAAAAAGAGATCTTGCGTGAAGGAGTGTTAGATATAGAATCGTTTAAATGCTTCCACCCAAAAGCTCAGTTTTTTTGGAGATACCCTATATGGGATTTGTTTTGAAGATCTTTGCGTTTTTTATAATTATTCATTAATAGGTGATAGGTCTCTATAAAGTGTTGTTTCACGGGAATATTGAGGCATATCCTATCTGATCTGTCTGAGAGTGCGGGAGGTTAGACAGTACTGACTTATTAGATCTTGCCCTTATGGAAGCGTATATGTGTCTTTATTTGTTATATATATAAATATAATATTTTCTCATTTCTTTTTACTTATAGAATCTGCTTTGATTTCTCTCATCAATCTGTTTTATTACAGAATAATTCAGATGATAATAATTCTCCTTCTGACAAGAGGAGTGGTCTGCAAGGCGTTCCGTGGAAAGATTTCTCAAGGGGTGGTTTTGGTCTTGGGAAGGAGGAATCGTTGATGGGGAAGATTTCTGGAAAGAACACATCTAGTAAGCTGGGAGACAAGTCTGAACCGGTTCGTAAGAGTAAGCGAGTACCAAAGAGACGTTTACTTGACGGGGAATTTGGTGATGACGACGATGAGGATGATGAGATTCGGTACTTGGAAAAGCTGAAAACATCAAAAGTTTCTGCTGTCTATAGAGATGAAGAAGAATTAAGCAAGAAACATCGAAAGCTATCTAGTGTCTCTAATATGGAAAATGCTGCCACAACAAGGTCAGGCAAAGACATTAAGAAAAGGTCTAGATCTGATAAAGTGTATGAGGACACAGATTATGAGGATGAAGAGGAATCCGGGTCTGATGGTGAGCATGAGGATAAGAAAAAGAAAAAGCAGAGGAAGGAGTCTGTTGATGTATTGATGGACAGTAAGAGGGAAAGTACTCTTACAACCCGTCAACGGGCCCTTCAATCAAGCAAAGACGCATCTGCATCAAGTGCTAGTTTAATTGAGTTTCCCAATGGATTACCACCTGCCCCACCTAGAAGTGAGCATTTATCTGTACTGTCATTTATTTAATCAACACCACGCTCAATCATTAACCATTTTGCTTAAAATACAGAGCAAAAGGAGAAGCTTTCAGAGGTAGACCAGCAATTGAAGAAAGCTGAGGCTGCACAGAGGCGTAAAATGCAAGTTGAGAAGGCTGCCAGGGAATCTGAGGTTTGTTTTCATTCTCACCAAATTACATTTTTTTTTCCTCTCACTATGTTTGATTTTACTCTAAAAGGCGTGTCCATTTGAATTCATTTTGTAGGCTGAAGCTATCAGAAAAATACTCGGTCAAGACTCTAGTAGGAAAAAGCGAGAAGAGAAAATAAAGAAGCGCCAGGAAGAACTGGCACAGGTATTGCAATTTTCTACACAAACTTTAAATTTTTTTGTTACTTTCAGTTTTTATTAAATTCATTTTTGCAGGAAAAGGCAGCAAATGCTCGAATGCATGCTTCAAATACCATCAGATACACAATGGGCCCAACTGGAACAGTTGTGACTTTTCCTGAGGAAATGGGATTGCCTAGCTTATTGAACTCCAAAATTTTCAGGTATCAGGCAATGCTAATTTGATGTATTGGGCCTGTTAGACGATCTTCCTAAGTCGTTGTTTAGATATTTTTGTCAAATGAAATGAATGAAAGTTGTTTTTAAAATACTGTTATTTCAAAAAGAAAACTGTGTCTGCCGTAATTTGACTACAATAATTCTCGAGCTTTGCTAATTTTATGTATGTGGTTTTGTTATACTGTCTTTCTGAAACTCTTTTATAATGCTTGACAAATAAAATATGGGGGGGTAAATTGATATTAAAAATTTGTGCTATTTATCAATAAAGAAATCTGAGCAAGTACATTTGGCTTTAGCTGTTTCCCCATTACAATTACAAATTCTGGTCACTTATTTGAAACTGGGGCTGTTTGTTTGATAAAGACGACAAAACTCTCCTTATATGCTAATTCTATCACCTTGTATTGTTTCAGTTATCCTCCACCTCGCGAGAAGTGTGCCGGTCCATCTTGTTCAAATCCTTACAAGTATCGGGATTCAAAATCAAAGCTTCCTCTCTGCAGTCTCCAGTGCTACAAGGCTGTCCAGGAGAAGGTGATAGCTGAAACTACCTGTTGATGTTGTCAATGGCACCATTGATACTTTTTTTTTTATCTTTCACTGAGGCTTTTAGCTAAGCAACTGTGCGTTGAGAGCGTTTGTAGGGAGCTCATTTTGCGGATTATGCATTTGCTGTATTATACTTTATTTTTAATGCTGGTATAAGAGGTTTTTGCGAAATGGTATCCTTTAAATCCTTTAATTGGGAATGGATACATGTAGAGCATGGACAGATTTTCCTGTTTATTACCCTGGCTTTTTTAGTAGCAATCCTAGATGAGTAATTTTGCCAGTAAATTTCCATAGGGAACATTAAAGGAACTTGCTTGATTTTCGATGACTGCATGATTACTCCTTTTAAAATACTTAATAATATGCTGTTAATTTGTGATGTTACTTTGTTTGCTTAAGTTATATGGCACCTGCTCTTATGCTTGGTAGAGATGAAAGAAATAGGATGAATTAAATTAGTTGGCAGAGGGAAACTAAATGAGAAATAAATTAGAAATAAAAAAATGTTTGGTTTAAAAGAACTAAAGATGAGATCAGGAAAAATATTAAAAACAAGAGTAGGTAAGAGAGAAAAAAAAAAGAAGAATTATATTAGAAATAGTACAGTGATGTTAATATATTTTAAAAATAATCTTCTCTCTTATTTACCACCTAAAATACTTTGTTAATATTGCATTGATTCCATTCTCCATCCCCGCCCATCTATCATGCATCTTCTTCACCCATTATACCAAAGTTGTATTTTTCATTCACACCTTTGTTAACCAAACAGACTCTTTCTACATTTGCAATACTTTTATTTTTTCATCCTCACATGTGTCTACCAAACAAGATCTATACTTTTTTAAAATCTCTGACGTGGAAGAGTTTCATATGACTGTCATATCTCGTTTTGTTGCGTCTTATTGTTCTTTTATGCTCATCCTTCTTAATTCGAAGGATCATCTATCCTCGTCACAGAGACTCAGTTGGAGTCAGACCCTGTTTGGAGAAAATGCAAGTGAGAGAGAGAGAGGAAAAACAGTTATTGGATTGAGTAAAAATATGATGAAACGCAAAAGGAAATGGTTGGACACAACAATATGATGAAACGCAAAATGAATAATAATAAATATAAATGATAAAAATAATAATACAATTGCATTAATTATAAAATAATAAACAATCGTAATAACAAATAATGTACCTTTTTAAATTAAACATTTTAAAATTCTTTTATTTTAATTTTCTTTTATATATTTTCAATCAAAATATGTATATTTTTCTTCTCTTTGTCACACTTACTTCTTTTCAACCAAATTAACTTTATTTTTTTTTTCTTCCATTTTGTTGTTTCTTTCCGCTTCATCTAACGAAAAGAAAAAAGAAAAAAGAAGAAAGCTATTACTTTTTCATTTGTTTTTCGTCTCGGAAATTTCTGAACTAGTTTAAAAAAATCATTTCATTTCCTCTCTTATTTCTCTGTAATCAAATACAATGCATATAAAATATTACAGTATTTTTATTATCAATTAGGTTTTTTTAGTACTTAGTTAGAATACTCGTGTCGTGAACTAGTTTGTATAATTAATATTTGTAATGTCTATTTTATATACATTTATTTTTGTTTGATCAAATTTATTTAATTTACAGAACCTTTTATTCAATACCTCTTTTCGTTCAATTTTATTTTTAAATTTAACTTTCATCGACCGCAAATGCTAAGATATTTTACTGTCAATCCATTTAAAAGTGTTTATTAACACAATGAGGAGGATTGGGTTTAATGGAAAAGTTTGGTAGGGTGAACTAAAATTTGAATCTCCTTTGGAGATATATCTACATCTAATGTTTGATACTATCTCGAGCATGATTTTCAACGAAGGAAGATATGATATATCTACGGGTAAAACAAAAAAATATTTAATCACAAATTATCTTATACAGTAAGTAGTTGCTTGATTTTCACAGTAGTTATTTTATAAGTAACAACAATCATGATTTTCAATTGAAGAGTGTAGAATATTTTAGAAAAATAATGCATAAAAATAAAATTCAACTTATTATATACTGACATGCAATTTGATTCAGAGTGTAAAACACCTTTACAATTATTTTTGTATGCATTACTAATGTTAAAAAATACACAGTCAAATAAAAATGATTATCGAAATAACTTCTAATATGTAAATTAACAAATGATGTACAATAATTTGTGATTAATAATTAAAAATCTCAACTTTACCTTACTAACATCACGAGTTAAATTAGTTGACTAGAGCATCCAATCCATCTTAAATGAAAGAAATATAGAATGATGAAGGTCCTTATACAACCATACCAAAGTTAAAGACGAGTTTTGAGCCAAATTTGATAGCAGTAGCCAGTAGCATCCTCAACAAGTCCTTATCAAGCTAATGTTCAATTTAGCTTCCATGTTTATTGAGAAAATTATGTTAAAAGCGTGTAGTGCTCTAAGTTTGTTAAAATAAACTAAAAAAACTATTAATTAACATATCGCAAGATAAACTTTTTAGAGATTATTGTTATTAATATATTGTATTTCAATTAACTCTATTCCCATTTTGCTCCCAATAAATAAGTAATTTATACTTAATGAGATGATTTATGCAGCGGAAAACCATGTTGGATCACACTATATGTAAAAAATGGTTAAATTAGCCACAATCACTATATTACAAATAGAATAAACATCCATTGAATGCAAATCATTGCAAGACAAAAAAGAAAAAACTTCATGTTCTGTTCTGATTTTAAAATACATATTCACATCTTTTTATGTTATCAATAAAGTAACAATATTTTTTTATCTTAATTTATATTTATATTAAAATCATATGTAAATATAATAAATAATTTAATAAATTTAATTGTATAATTTTACAACTATTTACTTATTTTTATATTAAAATAATATTTCCCAGAGATATAGTTTTTATATTTTATAAGAAAATTTATAATTTAGTAATAGTTAAATTTTTATGATATGTATAATATAAAATAATTAAATAGATTATTTTTATATTTTAAGATTTTTTATAGTTTTTATTTAAGTTTTAATCTATATAATATTTTAAAACAAAAGAAAGAAATTAGGTGTTAATTTTATGAAAATATAAGAGAGCTAAGTTTTAAAAATATAAAAGATGTAAATATTTATTTAATGACGATGTTTATTTTAATATTAAAAAAAATAAGTGTTATCTAGTATGTCCAGAAGAGATAATAGTTAAAGAAATTAGGAATTTTGAATTTTACTGTTGAAGTAGAATCTACAACTTACTCTTTGTATTGCCTTCTCAATACACTCGAAGCAAGCAAAGCAAATCCTAAAATGGCACACTCACGGTTCCTTCGACGCAGCTCTCTTCTTCACTTCCTGACTCGTAGGCTTTCCCTTCTTCACACTCTTCACGTCTCTCCCTATACGCCACATATTCTTTTCCATTTTTACCACAATGCAGGTGGTGGTTGGGATTTCGCCAATACAAATTTTACTCTCACTTTCGTAATGATACCTTGAATTCCTTGTGCATAAATTTCTACAACATTCTCTGCCGTTGTTGTTATTTATTTCTGTCTATCATGTTTTGCAGGAAATTGACAGGAATTAGAAAGAGTTCGAAAAACTCTCCCGGGAAGGGGAAGGCCGTTTATGCCAATGAATTTTGGGCGCCTGAGAAGAGTTCGTGCCGGAGACTTTGGTCTATAAGGTATTTTAGGCACTAAGTGAATAAAAATTTCTATAAGCATTTATAAGAAAATAAAATATAAGAATAAGAAAGTAAAATGAATGGAGATTAAAATAAACTCTTGCAGTTAACTTTTCTACGATCGTTGTCATCTAAATTCTGCAAAGATGAGTTTAACTTATGGGAGAATCGCAATGCATTTTACCTTTATATTATATATATATATATATATATGTGTGTGTGTGTGTGTGTGTGTGTAGCATTATTTCTTGGAAGGGACGATTTGCAAGTCCATCCTCCCCTTATTTCCCTGCATACGCACAAGGACAAGGACCACCACCAATGAGGCAGGAGCAGTTACAGAATGTTGTTATTAGTCAGCCTTTTCTGTATGTAGGCCCTTTTTTCGCCCAATGTTGAGTGTTAACCTCCTGTTTAGTCTTTGTCTTTCAACTACTGATAATATGTTTTGGTATTCAGAGAATAATACTCTGTGGGGGAGGGAGCCTGGGTGCTCAGCTTCTTTACCTGGATGCCAATGATCCTAATAATGTCTAATATTCATTCTTAGTTGTTAAAGTGTTTATCTCATAAAGTATTTACCAAAAAGTTGCCTCTTTATGGCTTTCAAATTCAGTACTTATATTTTGGTTGCCCTCATTTTTAATATGATTTCTACCCTGTGTGTGCTTTAATCTTTTTTGCAAATGTTTTGAACTCGATTTTGGTAGTGCAAGGACTTAATCAACTACTAATTATATTGTTAAGGATATTGTCGTGTACTCATGTAGTTAAATTCAGCAGGAGGATCAGTTACAGCTGAGCTGGTAATATTTATTTTCTGTGAATATCCCTGCATTAGTTTACGGTATTCAATATATGCCTGTAGTTATAACTGCAATGTATTAGTTTATTTTAAGAACTTATGTGCTTCACTTTTCCTTTTTGTTAGGTTTGACAATATTTGATACAATGAGCCATATTGGACCTGATGTGTCCTCTGTTTGTGTCGGCCTAGCAGTTGGGTAATGTTTAGTTCTTTTTCTCGGCAAGACCACCTTAATTCTCCATAGTTACCTCCAGTAAAAGTTTAGTCATCCCTTGATCTTAATGTGTGGCAGAATAACTTATAATCTACCACCCTTCCTCAATTCTCACTGTATTGGTGGCTTGATAAAAGAAAGGAAGTCATCTCTTGCTCAACAGAGGGTAGAGTCACTTATTTCATTCCCTGGGATAATGATGTTCACATGAAATGGTTTTCAAATTCTTCGGTAGATTAGCATTAATATCGCCGCAACCTAGCTTTTTCTTACTGGTGGGGTAGTTATTCTGACATAATATTTTTTTATGAATCATTGACCTCTAAATCCATTTTGGTAGTTTTGCCTATACTATTTTGTAATCCCCCTCTTCCTCTAGTCATAGACTTATATCTGGTCTACTCTCCTTATTAAGGTTTCTATACAGGTTTTTGTACGATTATTCTAATACACACTCCGAAATCATCCTAGGTGGAAATTTCCACTTTTCCACAATAAATATGATAGGAACTTGGGTATTATCGGGTGTCCAAGTTTTACATTGGTAAGTATGGGATGTTCGGTGAAATGTTGAAGTACTTGGTTCTTTCCATTTAATAGCTAACTTTTTGAGGGTGAATTCCTCGAGTGGTTGGTTACTTTATCAATTAATATTAAAGTTGATTGTTGGTGTCTCAGAAATGAGTACTTAGGGAGCATTCTTCTGACTAATTAGTGAAAATCACCGAGATGTCCACTCTTATGGACACTATTATGATGGAATTTGGATCATGGGGTGCTTAAGTGCCACACATAGAGTAGAATGAGATCCTCTGTTAAATACTTCCCCTAGGTTATATACCAAAATGTTACTGCAACTATCCCTTTAATGCATTCATTCCTAACCTATCTTTGCTACATTGTGTTTACTCCGTTGTTGGCCTTTTACCACCCAGCACCTAGTTCCATTCCCCATATCTATGCTTGTGCGTTGAACTTTACCCTTAAGCTTAAGCAGTACCTTTTTTATTGTTAGCCTCACAGTCACAGATGCGATCCTTCGTTTCATCCACTCCCTTCTTGAAACCTATTATTTCTCGTTAGCATCAATAATACTACACTGAACAGAATTGATAGTTGATTGCACACTCGGCAATAAATCTTTCACGTATCCATACTTTTATCTATTGACGTTTCCATGAGCAGTATGGGTGCTTTTCTGCTTAGCGCAGGGACCAAAGATAATGATTCTTTTAACACTCAATTGTTCTATGCATTTGTTCCTTATTTTTTATGTTTTGATGTTTCTCATTTCCCTGTTTTCCGAGATAAAAGAAAAGAAAAATGCTTCTTCCCTTCCTCACTTCTGTCTAATAATTTCTTTTATTTTTATACAAGCTATCCACTTTACTAGTGAATCAGTCCGAGGATGATAATATCAATTACTAAATGCCTTTTAATTAAGGATTTGTACGAATAAATTTCTTTTATATATATATAGAGAGAGAGAGAGAGAGAGAGAGAGGTGGAATGGAGCCGTGCACGTGTGTCATCGGATTCGTGCAGGTGTGCATTGGGATTTGGATTCCCACGGGTATTGGATAAGGTCTCTGCAATTGGATTACCTCATAAAAATAATGGAAATGATAGGAGGCAACCGTCACCTTTTCTGTGCTTATTCATGTAATTGGATATTAAAGTTACGGGATAGGATAATCAAATCTGAGAAAACGATTAGGTTAGATAGTTACGTATACATCACCTTTGATGTAGTCGTTAATCATAAAAAAACGTGATTATCTGTAATGTAGTACTTTTTGGTACAACCAACAATCAATCATACAACAACTGTAAATCCTGAAACAATATGTTTATTGGGTTGGATAAGAAAATATTTTAAACTATATAATTTTAATATTTATACTTTAAACACCTGCACCTTTTCACCAATGAATTAGGTTCTCCATATATGTTTTTCAAGTTAGAAGAAATTAAATTTACATAATTTTTAAAAAATTGAGAGAAAATTTATTAATTTAAAAATATAAAAAATTTCACATTGTTTGACATAAAAGATCGCATATATTAAATCACTAAAAAACAAGCTTACTATTATAAATGATGGATTTAATTTGAGTATACTCATTGCAAATGTTTATGACAAGATTTATTTCAAAGTTTGTATTTAATATATATTTTGAATTCGTTGCTACTGTACAAATATATTTATAACGTATTAAAATTAAATTCAAAATTATTTTAAAAATAAAATATAGAATAAGGTGCATGAATGATTAACATAACATATCACTAGTTATCCGGGAATAATAACGTCTCTAAATTAAAAAAAAAATACTTTCATCATTTAAATAAGTTTTTGCCGAGTTAATATTTAATTTTTGAAAATATATATGATTTTTCATATATTATCAACAATTTAATATAATAAAAATATTGACAAAATTTATTATTTGGCTTAATTTAAATAAATCAATCTATTCAACCTATTTTTTAAAATGGTATAAAGTCTAACGTTTTAAAAAAAGGATCGAAAGTAATAGAAATTATATATTAAGTTTTTGGGTAGATGACTTTATCTATTTCCATCACTATAATTGATTTGAGTTGTATATTTGTGAGAGAGATTATTAATGAATTTCATGGCTAGATTTGTCGCTCTGAAAGCATAGACACAGCAACACAAGGATCTCAATAAAACCATGTGGATTTGGCATCTTGTGAAATTGAAGTTTCAACTTTTGGAGGATCTAAACTTGAGTACCATGCACCTTTTCGAAGCATATTTCTCCATCCATCTTAGTACTGCCAAAATGGTGTGGCACTGGGAACTGTTCCACGAAACGAACCACTCGAGATTCATCATAGCAAAATATATAAATAAATAAAACATGACACAACCGCCGAAAGAAAGTAACATTTTCTCTTCCATCAAATGTGGCACCCAACAAGAAAATAAACACCTCGTTCTCCTCTCAGTGCTCCTTGGACACGCACGCACGGACGCACCAGCACTAACTCGAGAACCTCGTGCCAATGAATCTTTATTATATGTGTTATACACACTTGGTGTAAAAGATATTTTATTTAACACATTTCACTATTTGTTTTCCATGATTTGAATAAAAAAATATTTAAATGATCTTTCTATTTTTAATTTCTTATATGTTTGAGAACATATACAAAAACTCTTTTCTTCTACCTACTGCATAATATAGAAAAATTGAATAGAGAAATAACTATATAGCAATGATGGTGAGCCAAACCATTATTGTTTTAACTACAAGAGGTGATGATTTTGTCTAAACACTAACCCTTCCCGTCCCAAAATGATGAAAAATGCTTAGTTGTGAACCGCTCTTCAGTAACAGTATATGGTGTAAATAAAGCATACAGAAGAAGAGAAAAAGTTCTGAATTGAAAGAACTAGATGAAATGGATATGTAACATGGATGAAAACAGTACATACACTAGCAACTAAGCAAGCACCGAAACAACACTTGAATCAAGAAGGGGCAACGGGAATTCTTTCATCGGAAAAAATGCTCCTCGTGAAGTGCAAGAAAGATGACGACATGGGCAACTCCTCAAGCTCATCGAAAAAATCAAGTTCTTCATTTTTTGAAGCAGACAAGTTCTTGAGTTGTGCATAACAAAGGGGCTCTTGCTCCTCCAAGAGGAGATCTATTCTTTCATGGCTTTTCTCCGTGTTTAGTTTGAAAGGGTCTTCTTGTTCTATAATTATGTCTTGGGAGCATCGTATTGGAGATTGCAAGTAAAGAAAATTTTCTTCATTTGTACCTTCATCACTGGGCTTATTATCCCTTTGCTCTTCTTCTATGTGTTCTTGATCTTCCTCCTTCGAGGTAGCTGAGAGGTCTTGGGTGGTTTCAGATTCGGATTCTTTTGGTTGTTGGGGTGAATTTGTGGTGATGGTGGTGGGGCATGGATGGTTATGTGTAGAGGTATATGTGATGATGAGCATTGAAGCATCTGTTCTGCATCTCTCTACTTGCTTTTTGGCTGAACAACCTTTGGATGTGCTGCACTTGTAATAGCCCCTGCACAGTTGTAGCAAAACCAAACTTATAGATCTGGCAAAAATTTAGTATATACACGAATTTAGCATTTTAATTAGGATTTAAAGGGTCTGATCGAGTCTGGTGAAGAGTAAAAAGAAAATAAATAGATTTCCGTGCCTGTTGAGTCTCAGGGTCTGAATGTGAATCTAGTTAGTGTATATACTAAGTGATTCAATATGACTATAATGTAATGAAGGGTAACAAACAAGAGCCAAAAGGCACAGGTACTAAATTGATCACTTTATTTCTGTTTTAAGAATTATAATCTTTATGGGTGTGGAATCAGGAAGAAGGAAAAGTAAAGACTGTCAATATGGGACTATGGGTCCGTATGGATCATGAAATCATTTTGTAGTAGAAAGAATGAACACCTTGGATATGGAGACCCTTTGATCGGTTTTTGTCCATATTTCCTCCAAGACCAAAAATCCGAAGGTAGCCCTTCATTCTTGAGCTTGCCAACATTCTCTCCTATCCTCACTGCCACAACTGTTTTCTCAACCATTTTCCTGTCACATGCACAACTCAAAAATAAAACTTTCAAACAGCAATTCACCAAAACTAGCAAAAAATATAAAATAAAAATCTCTTTTTGTATTTTCATTTTTCTTAAGCAAGCATTTCTCCAACCTTTTCTTTGATGTTTGAGTGTCTGATGATTTGAGCTCTGAAGATGCTTCTGACTCAAGATGGGGGGAGGCATTAGTATCACTATCCATAACTCTGTATTTCTCTTTTTCTGGTGCAAGCTTGATCTGAGAAATGGAGATTTTCAGAGGAAGTGAAAGTATGATTGATTAGAGAGAGAAAAAAAGGCAGAGTATAGTAGTTGGAAGAAGGACAAGGGAAGAGATAATGGCAAAAGCCTGCAAGTTGCTTTCTCTCTTTCTTTTCACTCATTTAATATAAAGTTATGAAGAAGTAAGCACATATCACTAGCAGCAGCCCCCAGCAACCCCACCTTGAAATTTAGTATTAATAAGCAGCCTTAAATAAAGATAGATTTTTTAGAATGATAGCTGCACCAAGGGTGGCCATGCTTGTCACTGCAAACAATCCATCACTGCCACGTGGAGGACATATCCTATATCAAACCAAAAATGAAATCCTATTTTTCAGGAAAGATGCAATTTGGAACTTCCATCCAATCACAGACTCAAACCATGTTCTTACTATTACCACCCTAAACATCGCTCTTTCCATTTTGTTTCTTAAAAAAATAATTACTTCTTTAACACATAAGGTAGTTTAAATATGTACTAAAAAATTTAATGTTGATAAAACCTGAAGATATTTTTTTAGATAAACCTACAAAATTTTCATCTAAAACACTCAACTATAATTTTTTTTTTCACTTAAGAATTCTGTATACATTTTTCTTAAAAGATACCCAAAAAGAATGCTTGAATTAATCCTTCGATAACCAATTTCTGTTTTTTCTTTTTAAATGGTTTTGAAAAAATATTGAAAATATTTGTTACAAGAATAAAAGAAAAATTAATATCAATAATTAAATATATGTTTTCTATTTAAAAAATCATAATATTATATTAAATGAGTTCATTAATAAAATAATCAATTTTAGTTTATACTAAACTTAAAATTGATTATTATTAATTTAAAAGTTTTACTAATTGATTGCATTAAATTAAATTAATTCATATATCAATATATGATTTAATAAAAGTATTATTAATTTAGAAGGTAATAATTATGAAAATAACAAAATAAAATTAATAATTGTAATTATTACTTTATATTGATTAATTTTACATTGACAAATATTAAAATTAATTAAATAATTTTTTATATTAAAGAATATTATGTAAATGTTATTGTTAGTTTAAAATAACGTTAATGTTAATGTTAATATTAAATTATTTATTAATATAAAAACCACTATTTTATTTCAGGAAAAAAATACTACTTATTATGTCATTGAAACTTAGAAACATAATTTACCATTAATTGCTTCATTACTTCAAAACTGATTTTATTACAATGAACGAGATAAATCACAAATGAAATTTTAAAATTGTTCTGAAAAGTATACAAAAAATTATTAAATACTTATTGTTTAAATATAATTTAAACAATCAAAAATTTAAATTATAATTATATATTATTTTAATTGTGAGTTTAGTTTTATAAAAAATAAATAATCAAAAAGATAGTAATCAAAATTTTCATATTTGTATGTAACGTTAGAATTTATTAACATTGACATAAACATTATTTTAATTTGATAACAACATTTAAATATTATTTAATACCCACAAATAATTTTACTATACATATTCTTTAATAACAATAATTATTTTTATAATTTTGAATAGATGTCAATGTAAAGTGAATAAATATAATTTTTTTAATCATTACTAACATCATTAGTGTCAAAATTAATATTGATATTATATAATATTTTATTGTCTTATATTCATAAATAATACCCTTTAAAACAATAATAAAATAATTTTATTTTAGTTAATCATAATAATTTTATTAAATTGTATGTTAATATAAAGATTAATTTAATGTAACTAAGTACTTAATTAAAGTTTACAATTAAATAAATTTATCAAAAATTAAAAACTACATTTTAGATACATTAAATCAACAATAATACTTATTAATAAAAACCAATTTAAATTTAGTATAAATTAATATAATTATTTAATTCATTCATTCATTGAATATTAATATTTAATATAAAAATTATATTGAATTATTTATATTAAATATTTTTATTTAAAAAAATAGTTTTTACATTTTTAATATTAAAAAAAAAAACAAGACAAAACACAAGTGAAATTGGTTGTTCGGAAAGCCCGATATTTTAGTATTCTTCTCCGATGCCCATCAACAAAAATGTATAAAAAAAATGATTTACTGAAATTGAATTCTAACTCGTAAACAAAAAATAAATAAAAGGTGTGTGAGGTAAATATTTTGATAAGGGTCTATTTAGATTTTTTTAATTTAATTGAGAAAATTTCTGAATTGGGTATTGGCTTAGCAGAATGGAAATGCTATTTGGTAATTTAACTGTTTATATTAGTATCTTTAAATAAAATAAATTATTTTAAAAATTAACCCAAAAAAAAAGTTTACCTTCCTTTGATTTCACAAATTTTGAAGAGTTTTTATTTTTACTTACTGTTTATTGTAGTATTATTTTATTAACATTTTTATAAGTCTCTTGTTAACTTTTATGTATATAATGTGTATAAATGTATAATTTACTATTCAATGATAATTTTTGAAGTATTAAGTAACACGAAGTTTACCAATTTCTTATTTTGTATATTATTTGTTAAATAATTATTATTTAGTTTTTTATCCTACAAAATATTGTGTTTCATTTTAATTAAGTTATTTTTTTGTTTTTGTAATTTTATTTTAAGACATAACTATGAACCAAACTATCATATGAAACAGTGTGCTCAAGCAACTTAGATGAATCTATTATCTTTAAAGATAATATATTTATTTATTTATTAAACATAAAATTAGGTCCAATTCATATTTGGCCAAACAACTTTTATATGATTTCATCCTAGTCTAAAACATTCAAACATAAACAATAATTAAACAACATTATAAACTTAATAATTTAATATAATATAAAGGACATATTTGTATTTTTAAAAAAATGTTCATCGGACTTGTAATCAACAACGGAGTTTAAAAAAAATAAAAATGTTGAAACTGTTTTCCCACCTGGATCGGAACAACCTTCCTCCCTTTCTCTCAATTTCCAAAGAGGCATTGATACGAGGATGTAATTTGGTCGCAAATTATGAAGAAGTGGGCCTACTAGGTACTATACCTGTGGTGGCTGTAAGAGAAAGAAAAGGGCCTTCCAACACAACACTATTGTCCCAAACAAGACAGAGACATAGAAAAGGAAACAATCCACTCCAACAACCACTCTTCACCATTTTTCATCTTCTATACCAGTTAAAACTTGAACATGCTTTTTCTAATATTTAAAACACTTCAAAGATGAATCGTGGATGTGGATTTTGGATCCATCTTATGTAATTGAAAGGTGGCCACGCCACATCTCCAAATGGCTCATTCCTATCCCTCAAATAAATTATATATCCGTGAGGTCACGTTTTGCTTTCCTATTTTTAAATTATAATCCTGCAAATATATATCTATGGTGAATACTAGATGCAAACATTTAGAAATAATTGTAGACCTAAATTTTGTAACTTTAAGAAGACAAAGTACTTTTAATGAACAAATTTTTTCAACGGTCTTACCACAGAGCTAAGATTTCCAAATGGCTGATTCCTTTTATCCCTCGAATTTGGAGCCAAAAAGCTCCGGTTCAATCCAAATTCCACAGTTCATCAGATACCACCCTGCGTACCAAACCAACGCGCAAAAGATATAAAAAGAAGAATCATGAAGTTTATACATTCGTCTCTATTCTTTTCATCAACGTACAATGATAGTTTTCACATTTATATATTTCCCAACAAGATTCTAAGACCATGTCATGTCAAATGTCAACTGAACAAAAAACAGACGTGGCAACCACCTTTTAATTCCTTTTTCCAGCAACTATAGTTGCTAAGTCAGGTATATAGAGATTAGAGACATGCCTCAACATTGAATTTCTCTAGGTGGTGTTTAATGTGGTGCAATGCAAAACTCGTCATGGTTGTTTTGAGTAATTTGCATCAAAAAGCCAAAGATCTCTTTAAGTGCATAACCCCAAAAGAGATCTTCTACATCTTCACCTTCACTATCCTCACCCTCCTCTTACCTATGTCGTTTCTGCTACTGGCGAAATTCTCCGATGCACAATACTATCTTCAAACACTCACTTGGTACCATTCACCTCAGCACATTCCCTATGTTTTAACACTTCCCCTTCAGGTCCACCCTGTCATTCTCCACGTTCTTGTGTCCGTTATTAGCATGGCTTCGTTCATCCACGTTTTGACCGGAAAAATCATGACTTTGAGTGACCCTTCATCACCGTCAAGTACTGTTGTTCAACCTCGTCTCTACACTGCGTGGATTCTCCTTTGCACGTTCCAAGTTTGCGTTGGTTTGGGCATTGAGGGGAGTATTGAGGCGGGGTTATATGACTCTGATGAGTCGAGTTTTGGCGTTGAGAGAAGCTTGTTTAGCAGAGTGGCTTTCCTCGTGGGGTTGCACCAGACGACGCAGGTTTGGGCCAGGATGGTGGTGAGGCCTGTGGTGGATGACACGGTGTTTGGTGTTGAGAGACAAGTAAGATTGGTGGAGAGGGTGGTGGTGGCGGCGAGCTTGGGTGCGTTGTGGTGGTGGAGGTTGAGGGAGGATGTGGAGAGTTTGGTGGTAATGGTTGAGGCGAACAAAGAGCAATTGATGGATGTGAAAGTGAGTGACTTTGTTGGGTGGTGGCTCTACTATCTTACTGTCACAATTGGGATGGTCAAGCTTGTAAGGGGTCTTATAGGGATGTGCACAATTTGTGTATGCAGTAGAAGTGCAACCATTTTCAAGGTGGAACACTGTGAGATTGACGATAAGGTGTAATTTTTTTCATCAAAAAATTTGATGATTTAGATCTGAAACCTTGTAAACGTTTTACAGAATATTTTGGATGTGCGGTACAAATGCACGACAATGTGTAGTTAATCCTCAAATATATAAAATTTGTTTGTTTCTTTATCATAAATTAAATTAATTTTTCAAATATTGGGAAATATCGTCTTTAAGATGAGTGATACAAGTGAGATCGGTAATCCCTAATGCATAAAAAGAAAAGAATATTAACTCGAACATGATATAACACCATAATTATGCAGTCAGAAATGATTTTTTTTCACCCAAAATCCTTTAAAAACAACTCTCTTTTAATATTATAATAATTATTTTTATTTATATTAATTTTAAAAATTGTATGTTTTTTTTATAACTAATAGTTCTCTTATATCTCAATCCGCTTTAATCCAATTTATATTAAATTCAATTTACTCGTTTTATAAATTGTTTTCTTTCAAGTCAATCTTGTTGAATAATGATTAAATTGTTTTATCGTGACGATGAAATATTTGACTTTTTTTATAAATAATACTATTTTTAAAAATATTTTCAAAAATAAGCACATCTGGAATATTATTTACATAAATAGTACTCTTTATCGTTAACGTATTAAAATAATCGATTATTTTATATTATGATCGATTATTTCGCGCAATCAACGCTCGCTCAAGCGAAGAAACCCTTCGCTTGAGCGAGAAAATCTGTAACAAAGAGGTAATCTCGGGTCAATTCTCGTTCAAGTGAAGAAACCCTTCGCTTGAGCGAGGAAATCTGTAAAAAGAGGTAATCTCCGGTCAATTCTCGCTCAAGCGACGAGTATTTTCGCTTGAGCGAGAAGTGATTAAAATATGTGGTGACCCAAGTTACGTTATGTGGGTAACTGCGTTGGACGTTTAGCCTGTGGTCAATTCTCGCTCAAGCGATGAGTTACTTCGCTTGAGCGAGAATTGATTGGGTAACTGCGTTGGACCGTGGTCAATTCTCGCTCAAGCGAGACATCCATCGCTTGAGCAAAGAAATTTATAATCAATTATAATTTGAACTAATCGAACATAATTTTAAAATAATCGAATATACAAAATTATGATCAATTATTTCTCTCTCGCTCAAGCGAAGAAACCCACTACAACAGAAAACACATGTAATAGCGGTTCCACATGTTTTATAATAGCGGTTAAAAACAGTTAACGTGTATATTTGTCACTTTTAAGAGCGATTAAAGTGGAACCGCTATCATATATGTGTCACTTTTAATATCATATATGTGTCACTTTTAAGAGTGGTTAATATTTTAATCGCTCTTAAAAGTGAACATATAATAACAGTTTCACGTTAACCGCTATCTAAAATATACTTTTAATAGCGGTTAGTTCTAGAATCGCTATCTAAAATCTCGGGTCAATTCTCGCTCAAGCGACGGGTACTTTCGCTTGAGCGAGAAGTGATTGAAATATGTGGTGACTCAAATTGTATTATGTGGCTAACTGCGTTGGACGTTTAGCCTGTGGTCAATTCTCGCTCAAGCGAGAAACCCATCGCTTGAGTGAGGAAACTTGCAACTATTTATAATGCTAAGTCACCCACCCAAGTCAGGATTCCCATGTCTTTCTGATGCACACAAGTAAAGAATCCAATGCTGAGTTACCCACCTAAGTTAGGATTCCAATCTTGGATTCCCTGCATTGGGTCAGACAAAAGCAGAAGAATCCAAACATATTTAAAGAAATGTTGACCCACCCACTTTGCTTGGGTTTTTTGTGCGTCAGAAATCATGTGAGGGAACATTGGATTCAAACCAATGGAATTCATTATAAATAGACCACTTTCATTCTTTGAAGTTCTCACATTGCACACTCCTAAATCTCTGAAGCTATTTGCATTATTTCTTCTTCTTACCTTTAGTCTTCTTTGTGTTCCACACTCCTAAAATGGGTGTAGTGTCTACTATTGTCCACTGTGATGGTTTCATGAACTCATGTCCCATGGAGGGAGTTACCTTCAATACTGGGACTGCAAAACTTATTCCTTTAAAGAGAAGAATTTCTCTACAAAGGTTGAAGAAGTTGATCCACAAGAAATTGGAGAAAGAACCCCACGAAAATGTAGCAACCATCCATTTTCGCTGTCCAACTAGACTCGGAGTTGGGATCAACAACTTCATTGCTGTTGAGTTGAAAGATGATGACGACGTGGAGGCCATGTTCGATGTTCATGATTCAAACTCAAGTCTATGTGGTATTGAAATTTTTGTTTCATTTAAAACTTCTTCTTCATACCCCAACACACACTCACCAGAAATTTCACCCTTACCCTACCAAGCTTTCCCAAACACTGACCCAAAAATACCCACACATAATGACTACATCCCTTTTACCCAACTTCTAAGTGGGTCTTCCACCAACATCAACGAAGAACTACCCACACAAGAGAACGAAATTGTTGGCCTCCCAATTGAAGTCGTTGATCCTTTTAGTGAGGATGAAGACGAAGATGAAATTCTAAGCCAACACCAAGATGATTCAGAGGATGAACAACCACATATCCCTACACATGCACCAAACTTCATGGAACCATACAACCCACCACAGCATTTTCTTAACTTTGAAAGTCACATTTAACAACAAGACCCAGAGTATGGTCATGCGTTGGACAAAAAATCTTTTGTTTCTCCGGCAGAAACAATATTTCTTGGACAACATTTCATAACAAAAGAACAAGTTCAAGATGCCATCAACCGCTTTCACATTGTCAATCACTGCACATACAAGGTGAAAATTTCAAACCAAAGTAGATATGTTGTTGAATGTGTTGATAACCAATGCAATTGGAGATGTCGAGCAATATTACGCACAAGAGAGCAATATTGGGAGATTATGAAGCTTGAAGGGCATCATACATGCGTTTCGCCATTAATCAGCCAAGACCACAACAAGTTGGGATATAAAATGATTTCCCAAACAATTGTTCAAATAATTGATGTTGATTCGTCAACACCAATCTCCACAATCATAGCCCACATCCAATTAACAACAGGTTACACTATAACATACAGGAAGGTCTGGTTGGCCAAACGAAAGGCAGTGAAGATCATCTACGACAATTGGAAGGATTCGTATAAGAAGTTGCCTTGTTTGTTACAAGCCATGCAACAATTTGTTCCTGGATTCATCTACAAACTGCAGTCACAACCAGCTTACCAAGGTGAAGTCCTTCAACAAAATTTAAATATTTTTAAACGTGTGTTTTGGTCATTTAGGTCATGCATAGATGATGGATTTGTTCACTGCAAGCCCATTGTTCAAGTGGACGGAACTTTTTTGTATGGAAAATATAGAGGTGCCTTGTTGGTTGCAGTAGCACAAGATGGCCGCAACAACATCCTCCCTATTGCGTTTGCAGTGGTTGAAGGTGAAACATGTGATGCCTGATTTTTTTTCTTAAAAAACCTTCAAAGATATGTCACACCCCAGCAAGGATTATGCCTCATATCAGACCGACATGAATCCATTAGAAGTGCATACATGAGAAATGGAAGCGGATGGACGAGAAAATAATTCAATGCATGTCTACTGCATTAGACACATTGCACAGAATTTTATGAGATATCTAAAAAACACCGCATTGAGGAAAGATGTTGTAAATATGGGTAATTCCTTTGCTTCAAATTTGTTACAATTTATTCATTATTTAATTGTTGCTAATAAATATTTATATTAACTATGTTTTTTTAATATTGTTGTAGCGTATGGGATGACTGAACTACGATTATACTATTATTACAACATCTTGAGGCAATGTAACATAAAAGTAGCTAATTGGTTGGATGAGATACCTAGAGAAAAATGGGCACTTGCATGGGACAATGGACGACGTTGGGGCCACATGACGACCAACATAGTAGAGTCTATCAACTCTATTTTGAAAAAAACAAGAAATCTACCTATTTGCTCCATGGTCAACGCAACGTACATCCATTGCAACAAATTTTTCATTGAAAGAGGGAGGCAGATAGATGTCATGATCAATGCTGGTCATGTATACTCTGAAATTTTGGTCACAAATTTAGAGGAAGCACAAACACAGGCAAACACGCATAGGGTCATAACTTTTGACAAGTCTACTACAAAATTTGTGGTAGAAGAAACACAAAACCCGCGTGAAGTTCGACCAACAGGAAAGTTTGCAGTTCACCTTGATGAGTTATGGTGTAACTGTGGGAAATTCCAAAAATTTCACATGCCTTGTTCACATGTTCTTGCTGCATGCAAGCATGCCCACCATGACTTCAACAACTATATTAATTCAGTGTATACCTTACAAAAAGTTTCAAATGTATACGGAACACAATTTGGGTTATTGCGAAATGAAGAATATTGACCAACATACACAGGACCTATTTTGTGTGCAAATCCAGAAATGAAAAGAACTTCAAAGGGCCGACCAAAATCAAGTCGTATAAGAACTGAGATGGACATTACAGAAAATCAAAGTAGGATTAAAAAATGTTCATATTGACATACCCCTGGTCATAGAAGAAGAACATGTCCCAATGTTGCACGTGCATCTACTTCGCATCATTAGATTGTGTTAGTTAAGAAATGTCTCAATGTATGAAACTTAGGAGTTTTTCAATTAATTGAAAGTGATGAAGATCTTATTGAATCATTTGATAAAACGAAGATCTTGTGGGTTTGTTGAAGTCAAAGGTTATTTAAGGAACTTTTTGCTAACTGTTTTAATCGATTAAAACTTGTTGTTATCAGTTAAAATAACTTAGAAAGTTTTGTGAAAAGTTTTGAAGAAACTCATTCAGCAGGAGCTGCATAATCTGGGTTTGATTGTTCTAGTTTCTTTTCTTTGTTTCTTTACATATTATGGGTATCTGAAAGCTTGAGCAAGAATTGACCACAAGTTAAACATCCAACGCAGTTAACCACATAATGCAACTTAGGTCACCACATATTTCAATCACTTCTCGCTCAAGCGAAAGTACCTGTCGCTTGAGCGAGAATTGACCCGAGATTACCCATTTGTTACAGGTCTCCTCGCTTAAGCGAAGTTTCTTCGCTTGAGCGAGAGAGAAATAATCGATCATAATTTTGTATATTCGATTATTTTAAAATTATGATCGATTAGTTCAAATTATAATCGATTATAAATTTCTTCGCTCAAGCGATGGATGTCTCGCTTGAGCGAGAATTGACCCCGGTCCAACGCAGTTACCCAATCAATTCTCGCTCGAGCGAAGTAACTCATCGCTTGAGTGAGAATTAACCACATGCTAAACGTCCAACGCAGTTTGCCACATAACGCAACTTGGGTCACCACATATTTTAATCACTTCTCGCTCAAGCGAAAATACCCGTCGCTTGAGCGAGAATTGACCGGAGATTACCCCTTTGATACAGATTTCCTCGCTCAAGCGAAGGGTTTCTTCGCTTGAGCGATAATTGACCCGAGATTACCCCTTTGTTACAGATTTCCTCGCTTAAGCGAAGGGTTTCTTCGCTTGAGCGAGAGTTGATTGCGCGAAATAATCGATCATAATATAAAATAATCGATTATTTTAATACGTGAACAGTAAAGAGTGCTAATTGTGTAAATAATGTTCCGAGATGAACTATTTTGGGAAATATTTTTAAAAATAGTATTATTTATGAAAAAAAGTCGAAATATTTATCTTATAAAAGAGAAATTTAACAGAGAAGTCAATATGCATCCATGAATAAAACAACTAAGTTCGTCTTCAAGAATATTTTTCATTCATCACTTTTTTTTTCTTTCATTTATATATATGTAGCATAAAAAAATCCAAAAAAAATCAATACATATAAATTATTTTAAGAGATTATAATATATTTTTTAAATAAAATTTTAAATAGATTTTTTTTTCACAACCCTTACTAGTCCCATATTCTGCCTTATATATATATATATATATATATATATATATATATATATATATATATATATATATATTATTTTGTTATTTTTTTCTCTCATTCCATTTTATTGGATTTTATTCCAATGACGAATTAAAATTAAATGATATAGTCTAATTTTATCTATCATGTTGTTTTTTTCTCTCATTCCATTTTATTGGATTTTATTCCAATGACAAATTAAAATTAAATGATATAGTCTAATTTTATTCTATCATATATATATATATATATTATATAAACACATTAATAATTAACAATTGATATAATTGGTATTTAAGTTTATCTATAAATGACTTATTTTTTTTATTTAAGTGAAAAAGGAGTAATAACCATTTTTTTTACAACCATATATGATATTGTAAACAAAAAATTATTTATTTATAAATAGGATTTACCAACAATCTTTTCAACCAACTTAATTTAAATCTATTTAAGTCACATATTAAATATATTTTATTGTTCATCATCATCATTGTCATACACTAGTTAAATATATTTGAGATTAATGGTAATTTATATACATCATTCTCTTTTAATCAAATTATGCGTTTTTCAAGAATAAAATTATGACTGGATAAAAACGGTAAAATAGTAAATATCTCATACATGAAAATTAACCTAATATTATCATTATCATCTTTGTTTATTATCATGATCATTATTCATATTAATCATTATCATTATCATTATTGTTCTTCATAATCAAAATTTATATTGAATTATCATCATCTTTATTATTCATCATGAGACATCTTTAAAATTCATTATCTTTATTATTCATTATCTTATTAGTCATTCTCAAGATTTATGTTATATCATCATAGTTATTATTTATCATAAATATTATCAATCATCATTTTTTTTATCATTATCTTAGTTGCTCATCATCCCAATCTTTATTTATTGGGTGATGATCTTTTGACAACAGAAAGAAAAAATAACCCAAAAAATAACTCATTTTATTAATATAATAATCATGAAAGAGTTTAAATAAAAATAAAAAATAGTTAAAATTATTATTATAATATAAAATGCAGTTGTTTACAGGGTTGTTTGTGTGAATAGTGGTGTCAAAATATCTTTTTCCTTATTTATTATTATCTTCTTTATTATCATTATCAATATATTATATATTATTATCTTTTTTATCATCGTTATCAATATACTATATAGGTTGATTATCATCGTTGTTATTTATAATACTAATGTGTTTTCACCTTCATATTTTTTATATTATTTTTTAAAAATAATTGTTATATTTTATTTTCATTTTATAATATTATAATAATTTTTTTCACTTTTTATCACAATTATATGTTCTCTTCTTATTTATGAATTGTATCACACTTTTTTTTCTCTCCTCTATCTATTGGCTCCCAATAAATCATTTTTTCTCTTCTTCTCATAATACCAAAATAATTGTTTTTCCCACGTTTCCTCTCCCATTTTTATTTGTAGCATAATAAAACAAATTATTTTATAATGATAAAATATAATATAGTTTTATAACAATAATATAAAATAATTTATAAAAAGGAATAAGTAACGCATATAAATAAATTAATAAAAATATAAATTAATTTAATTAATAATAAAAAGAATAACTTTTTGGGTGAAAATATTTTAATGTTGTTTTACATTTTTTATTATGTTATTCACAATTGAATTATTCCAAGAATTTTAAATTTTTTTGGACATGTTTATATATATATATATATATATATATATATATATATATATATATATATATATATATATATATATATATATATATATATATATATCAATTGATAATAGCATTATAAAAAGTATGACATTTTGTTACAGTTTGCAATATATTAAACATTAATATTAGTATATATGTGTATAAATTATGAGTAACATGATTTTTTCACATACATACTTATTCTTCTGAAAGTAGTTCTTTCATTCAAAATTCAATCTTATTCAATTGTTTTACTAATATATTTTATATTCTCAACTTTGTTTTTTCATCCCATAAATTCAAATCTATCCAATCTCAACAATGGATTAAATTAATGATAATTATTAATTAAATCTCACCAACTTCAAATAAATTTATTAAACATGATAGGCATAAAATTAGTTATTATTTTTCCATTATCTCAATGTCAATTTTTATGTATAATAACTATTTAAATATAGATATTTTCATAATTTTTAATCAGATTTAATTTAAATATACTTGTTGTATGATAAAGAATTTTCTTATGTATTTTTCTTATGTTTTTAAATATTCTTATAAGACAGATGTTTATAATGTAAATAATTGCTGATAAAAAAAACATGTATCATCACACCAAAACAATATGCAGAAAATTATTATTTTTCGTAGCATATTCCTCATACTTATTTGCACATAATCTAATAAAAATGTAGATAAATTCAGTTTGGAATTACTCTAATGTTGGACTCTCCTGTTTTCTTGGAAAAAGTCTATCCCTCGATCCTTTTTAAATCCCTCCTTCATTTTCTTGGACCTTATCAACCGGGGCTGAACTTCTTATGAAAACCTTTCAGATATAATACTCCAGAACATTGTTTCCACAACGACAAAAATTATTGATAATTAAATACTAACTTTAATTTTCTTGGCAAAGTTTTGGTTTGATCAAAGCATCGAGTCTTTTTGTGGTTGCTGGCTGACGACTGCAAGGAAAACATCGAGGACATCACCGTCAGCGTTACATTCCTATCACTTTCATAAATTTTGTGATGATAAGTTTCTTTAATCATTTATACGTTCAAATATTCCATTTCCACCTTCAATTATTAGAATGAATATACACTCTCATCTCCACCATGTTTACCTCTCCACCATGTTTACCTAGATAACCACACTTTCTTTAGAGTACATTCTTGAAACCTTACTTGATTAATTGGGTTGTAAAATTCAACATGGAAATTGACCAATTTTCATCCACAACTTCAAATTTAAGAGAAACCCAAGTGGGTTATTGCTCTACACAAGAGGATGTGGTTCAAGCAAAAGGGATTTTCTCTGGAATGGAATTGCTGAGAGAGATTGATTATCTACCTATTGAGAACGAAAAAGGAACCAAATTGTTCGAGGATGAAGATCAGAAACAGCTACAAGAACCCCAAGTTGATAACTTGTTGTTAGAAGAGGTTAAATATGACTATGATATGCAACTGAAACCAACAGAACAATTGGATGGAACTACAGGGCCAGCGAAACATGGCATAGAATCAGCTGAAAACAAAAAGCAGGTGCCACCATCATTAGCATCCTTAGAGCTGCTGAGAAATTATGGAAGCAGATTGAAGAGGCTAAATGAGCAAAATATAAGCACCTTTCACAATACGAAAACCTCTTTGGATCACCAAAAGATATCAACTGAAGAAATTATAAGAGTGGCTGGAGCAAGGTATTGTTACATATATATTCATTAGTTGAATTGATTGACAAGTTTTAATTGAATATATTAGGTAATTTTAGTATTGTTTTTCTTTCAGAATTGAAATTTACCTTAGCGTAGGTAATAGAAAATTACAACATAGCCTCACGAAGGAAAATTCCAGTTTTAATTTTAATTGAAAAACAACTCACACAAAGAATTGTGGATCAGTTTTGCATGATATGTCTCACTATATCTCTTATGATCTTGTGCTTTGCCAATGCTCTGACCAGGTATATTCAATATTCTGCACATTGGAATGATAGTTTTTGCATCCCTATGCACCCATACGGATTGGATGTTGGTATTTTGTCAGAGGAAGAAAATCGAGATGTAGAACTTGCTCAGTTTCTCCTTGCTGCAGCTGAGAGGGTAGGTTGCCAACAATTTGAACGTGCATGCAGGTTGCTTCTCCATTGTCAATGGAATTCATCAGTCGGTGCAAGCCCTGTTCAAAGAGTTATCTTTCACTTCGCTCGAGCACTTCGAGAGAGAATCGATAAAGAACTAGGAAGGATAACAGCTAAGGGATCAGCGAAAAATGAACAAAGGGAGTTCACTCAGAAGATTGACACCAACATTGCCCTAACATTCCATCAGAAAATTCCTTTCAATCAAGTGATGCAATTCGCTGGGATACAAGCTATAGTGGAACATGTTTCATCTGAGACCAAAATCCATCTCATAGATCTTCAAACAAGAATTGGGGTGCACTGCACAGCTTTGATGCAAGCACTGACTGAACGCCAGGATTGCAAAGTGCAACTTTTCAAGATAACCGCACTTGCACTTAATTCATGCAAAACCTTGATACAGGAGACTGGAAAAAGGTTAGCTAGTTTTGCTGAATCCTTGAACTTACCCTTTTCATATAATGCGGTTTTTGTGACAGACTTTGCAGAAATAAGGGAAGATCATTTTGAAATTGGAGAGGATGAAGCTGTGGCTGTCTACTCTCCATATTTTCTAAGGTGCATGGTATCAAGGCCAGATTGTATGGAAAACTTGATGAGGGTTATAAGGAATATCAAACCAGTTATAATGATAGTCCTTGAAGTAGAAGCTAACCATAACTCACCCTCCTTTGTGAACCGCTTCATTGAAGCATTGTTCTTCTACTCGGCATTTTTTGATTGCCTCGGAACCTGCATAAAACATGAGATTGAGCACAGAATGACAATAGAAGCAGTATTTTCTGATGGGATAAGAGACATCGTGGCAATGGAAGGGAGGGAAAGAAAAGTTAGAAATGTGAAGATCGATGTTTGGAGAAGATTCTTTGCAAGGTACCGGATGGTGGAAACCGGGTTTAGTGAGTCCTCTCTTTGCCATGCTCACTTGGTCAACAAAGATTTTGCTTTTGCGAAATTCTGCACTATAGACGAGAGTGAGAAGTGCCTCATTGTTGGATGGAAAGGGACCCCACTGTATTCAATCTCAGCTTGGAGATTTCTTTAACCCCACTGGATTTCTTTGACATTCATTCATTTGTGAAGCAAAATGATAAATTCTCTTATTTCCCTTCATTTTTTTTTTCATTGAAATTAGACTTAGACTTTGTGTAAACAGTCCAACCTTTATTAGCAGATTAATCTTAATAAAAAAATTGATAAATTATTATTCCCTATTCAACCTGTTCTTTAATTGCAATTAGTATTTTCATTGTCACTTAAGGGAGTCTTTAACCAAATTAATGCGTTTTAGTTATAGTTTGTAAACCATAATCTAGCCTAATTAAATGTAAATGTTCTATATTGCTTGTAACTGTATACTTCTAGAATTAACATTAGACCAAAGATAAGAGAAATGTTTTATAATTGTCATCGTGACATTCAGATAAATATTCTTCCATATTTACAATATTCACACTTCAGAAGAAATCATCATAATTATTGACAAAGTTGTTGGAGGTTTCTTTAACAAAGTTTTTTTTTTTAATTCTAGACAATATAAATTAAAACTTTGCGTAATCTACTCGATCTATATTATCAATCTTAATGAATATTTTAATAACTTATTTGTAACAATTTTGTTTTCATTCTTATCTCCATCTATATATAGTATCAATCTTAATGAATATTTTGATAACTTATTTACAATAAATTTGTTTTTATTCTTATCTCGCTTTCCAGTTAACCTGTTTTTGACATCTTTAGTGATAAATTTCATTCTGAGATTTTATATTATTTTTTGATAGATATGTTAATATTACTTAAAGAAATAATATTTTGCTTAATTTTTGGTTTAATGATAGATCTCTAAGATTTTGACTAAATTTAAAAATTAAGACATAAATTTAAAAAATATTTTTTTAATATTTCCTCTATCTTTAAAATAATAGATATTTAATGTGAAAGGAGTCTTTAACAAAAATCTTTTTATTTTAATAAAAGACTCTTTATGTTTTGAGACTTAAAAACATAATCAATTTTGCTAATATATCTGTAATTTAGTCACATGTGAATCAAATTCAATTCAGAAATTATAAATGCTACGAAAGGCTTTTTATTTTAAATGAGATAAGACGGTTGCCCATCAAATTATTGTAAATAAATATATATTTAAATTTAATCTCCTTTTAACTTTAGAAATCGTGATAAACCCTTACAAAAGAAGATTAAGTATACATATTTTTAAATTTAAAAACCTTAACGCGATGTTAACGAAAATATAGAAACCATCTAAAAAGAATTATACATTATTTACTGTTTTTAGTCAAAGTTTCATAAAAAATATTTTAGAGTAGAAATTTATATGTTATTATTTATTACATGTATTTAATATATTATTCTATTAATATAAATTTTATTAAATTCTTATTTTATTAAATAAAATAGATCTCTAATCTATGATAAATGTTTATAAATAAATGGATGAATTCCTGTATAAATTTTATTTTGATACTGCATCAGGTCTTACATTAATTAAGGGTTAGCATAATTCATAAAAAATGATTTTATTTGAATTTACCAAAATATCTTCTACAAGTAAAATTAAGAGAACCCAATAAATATTAAAATAAACAATATCCGGTGACACTAACAATTTTCTTTTTGCCATGACATCATCAATGTTGAAGAACTTTATATTATAATAATCTATAATTTATAAACGTCATCTTTTAAATTTTAGCGATTAAAAGTTTATGTTTTCATCATTTTCCTAACCCAATACGTATTACTTGTTATAATTTTAAAAATAAAACAATAAGAGATTATGTACATCGAACAATCTCTTTTATTGATAGTATAAGTGAATATGAAATAGGATCAATAGACAATGTTTGATTATTATATGTTTACTCTCGTTTTTTTTTATGTTGAATATTTAGATAATTAGAACAAATATTGAGATAATTATTAATTTCATTGAGTTGTTCAATATTTTAGTGTATGTTAAGATAATCAAAATGAAATTTCATTAAGAAATAAGTGAGTTCATGATATTAACATCACTTAAAAAAAAATTTATATATATATATATATATATATATATATATATATATATAACATTTTACTTCATATAATATTATTAATTATATTATTAATTCACTCAATGTAAAAATTAATCTAATAATATCATTAAATATCATTGGTATGTTAATTTAATACATATGATCCCTATGATAATTATTAAATTAAAATTAATTATTACATTATTTAATAAGCAAGTATCGATATCTGCATAAACTTATACCACTTTTTTTGCGTATAGGTTTTTAAGATATATGTATCCTTATTTATTTTGTAACAGTAAAAGTCATATTAAAAATATAATAACCGTAATACCTTTTAATTTTTTAATAAAAAAGTTATAATGGTTTGAAAGTTGTTTTGTGACGGTATAACGGTTTAAATTTTTTATTTTATTATTTTTTTTAACTATTATTATGCACTATTTATTTTATATCTCTTATTTCTTTTAAATCTAACATATGTCAATATACAATAAATAATAATTTTAAAATATCAAATTAATCAATAAATTAAAAAAATAAGTTTAACAAAAATAATTATCAAGTACGAACTGGTGTTTCTATTAATTTTATATCATAATACAAATTAAAAATAATTTGATTAAAATATAGGTTAAAGTTTTTAATATATTGATTTTTTTAGTATAATTTTTTTATATTGATTAATAAAATAAATGATTGGTTTATATTTTTAATATCATCAATACTATTATCAAGGTATTTATGAAGTTGGAAAACATGTCATACAGTAAAAAAATATCAAAGATGATATGTAGAAAGTTTGTATTCATTATATATAAATTTAAAACCAAAAGAATTTTTTAAAACATTTTAAATTAATTAAAATAGAAAGCATAATAATATAGATAAAATATTAATATTTATTTGTTAAGTACTTAAATAAAAAATTTATAATATATTAAATATTTTATGGGAATCAGTAACTTATTGAGTGCTGAAAACAAAAATAGGTGATACGTAAATATCTAAATTTATTTAAGCCATAAAATATTTATTAAATCTAATAAATGTACCACTTTTGTTAAATTAATTATTAACATTAAACATTTTTATTGACTGTAAGTTTACATATATTCTTGAAATTAATGTTAAAATTTTATATCTCATCATTATTTTTATTTAATTATTCACTTTTAATTAAATTTTTCAGAATAAAATAGTTTTTATAAAAAATTCTATATATAAAAAATTATTAAGAATTTTTAACTTTATTTTAATAAATTATAGTGAATATATAATTTTATTAAATATTGTAAACTAATTATTTTTAATTGCCATGTTAATAAAATATATTATTAATTAAGGATTAATTTAAAGAGAAATATATTTAATAATTATATTAATTAAGTTATAAATTAATTTATTTAATTCTTAGTTAGAGTGAAAGTTAATTTTAAATTTTAGCTATAAAAAATTTAGTCATATTTTTCTTATAATGTAAATATTACTTTGCATGACATTAAGATAAAAAATTACACTCACATTTAATTTATGTACATTAAATAAAAATAAGTTGCAAACATTATTTTTCACTTTATTTTTTTCTTTTACGGCAATTGAATTGACAGATGCTTAGAATAAAATTTATTTTAATATTTATTAAATTTTAGATTAAATTAAGTATTTAATAATAAATACTTTTTATATCTTAATATATTAATATTTATTACTAAAATTCCTATAAAAACATAGAAATGAATACACATTTCAATTTTTGAAAGTAGTTATATTTGTAAAGTTCTTTCTAATAATTTTTTATTACTAATTAAAACTTATTTAGCATTAGAAAATAATGTGAATCACAAATCTTATTTAATAATCTTAATTCTATTAATTTTGTTAACGAAGTTAACTAATAAAAACACTATTAATTGGAATATTAGAGAATGTATTAGTAATATTTAATATGTAAATTTTGTATATTTATTATAAATAAAATTAATTTCTCAAGTATTAAGAAATATATGGTCTTTTGGATTAGTGATCCGTAGAAAGGAAGGAACATTAATCGGCACATGAAACCATACCATAAATTATGTAAAAGTGATAAAATGACAACTCAGGTACAAATAATGTCATTATATACCCATAACTTGGCACATCATGTGTTGCGTCATGGAGAAAATCCACCATTGTGGGCTCGTTCATCTAAAGCCCAAGCTAAGGAATCAAGGTCCAAGATTAATGGTATATTTACTCTAATAATCACTATTTGACATGTCTTGGGAAATAGCTAAGAGAAAATGTCATTATGTTTTGAGAATGATAAAAGGGTTGAATTTATAAGGAATATGTATAAGGATTAGAGATATTAATTTTTACATGATTCAGGTTCCTTCCAATGTTTAACTCCAACAATGTTTTTTTATAAATTTCTTCACATACAAAATGTATTCCGATTATTTATAAAATGTGACGAGAGTTTAATTTGAAATTTACACTTGTTTGTTAATAGACATATGTCTCTATTAACGTACTTAGTTTGACGAGTGAATTTGTCACGATTGTTATTTATTACACAAATTTTTATGGATAAAAAACAAAATAATCTACTCTTTTTAGTATTATAGCGTGTTTGGAATCAAATTTGAAAGATCTGTACTCTATTAATATTCCACACTTCGATCACAATATTTAAGGCTTGATCTAGCCCATATAATATCAAATCTTAGTGCTCCCTCAAGATTTTGTGTCAAAAATCAAAGAAGAAAAAGATTATGATGGAGCTTTTGACTAACTCCTTGAGACATTCAAAGAAGATACCAAGGATATATAAAAAAAAAAAAAAAAAAAAAGCATTTCAATTCGGACTCTTTGTCATTTCAAAATTCTTTTAGTTATGTTTGGATCTTCTTATGTTTTGTAGGAGAAGAAATGAGAGGATGGATTTGTAGAGAAAGATGTAATTTGGATTTCATGCTTTGAGATTATTTGCATGAAAAATTTGGTGACCCCTACATTT